ACCATTGTATAGCTTGAATATTTTTTAAAATGTGATTAAATCATTTTTAAAATTGTAATGGCATTAGAACTCATGTGCAATCTGAACTAAATTTTAGAAAATTATGAATCAAATCATGGCCAAATTAATTTTAACTATAAATAAATAATTGTAGTTTAAGATTAACGTACAAAAGGTTTTAAATCTTATTATAAAAAGCATTAATGACAAACAAACTGAGACAAATATGACTAAGTTACCTTGATATTTGACGCTAATCAAGACCATATAAACGTGATCTCAAATCATTACTTCTCAACTTAACAAAAACAGCTGTAAATTCATAATGCACATATTAAGCACGCCTCAACTTATGCAATATATTTATTTTTTTAATACGCGTATGTTACTATACATAGTATTTTCACTATTATTTAATATTGAACTGCTCTTAAAAAATAAATTCTTAAAAGCCATTTATACATAAAATTTATGTTTATTATATATTATGGAAGAAAAATAAATTTTATTTAAATCGTAATAACTTTTAGTTTATAATTTGGAAACTGTTGAAGTAAGTACCATTTAAATAATTTTTTTAATAAATTAAATGATTTGTAAATGCGAAGGTCATAAAATTTTTTGCAAAAGAATTTTTAATAATACAAAAATTTTCAATAATATTCACGAAGTAAAAATCTTTTCAATCATAATAAGGATATTAAGATAAATCGAAGAAGGATATCGGTTTTTCTTAAATATATAAGAAAATATTGAATAACGTAAACATCCTGAATTAAATTTAATTTTTAAGATAAACAAGAACTTCCCCAAGATATTAAATTTAATTACGAGTACAAATTGTAATATTTTTTCTCATCTCTTCAATATTGAAATAACATCCTGTCACCTTATGGAATAAAAACAATTTTTTTTTCCGCTGGTACAAAATTCGAAATGTTGGAATGAATTAAAGGCTATGCTTAATTCTATTTTTTGCTTCTCTTTTTTTATTTCTTTTTTTTTCTTAATTTCAATTTTAAGATTTAAATCAATTTTTTTTTAAAAAAAAACCAATGTGTGTATGCGTATAAATTTGTGGCGTGTTATTTAATACACATTAATTTATTATATGCTTAATGATCTTTTTAATTAATTCTTAATTTTTCACGAAATTCTTGTTAAAATTCTAGAAGCATCTTGAAAAATTACAATAAAAAAAATTGTTTTGACAACAACATCACAGTTTTTATAAGATTTTTTCATGTAGCAGAATTGAAATGTAGCAAAAACCATGAATTTTATTTTAATCCTCAAAGGAAGATTTTAATAACATCTTGTATACGATAGCACACATCGGAAATAATAAGTTTTTTTAATTTCCTGTGTGTCATCTTTCAAAAGTTGCATCAACTTAGTCAAACAACTATAATGATGAAAAAAAACTCAAGACTATCATTAAAAAAAGTGACTTTACTACAGAAATTTTTTCGAGCATCTTCCAATTTTATAAAAAAAAAAAATTCAATTACATGAGTAGAAAAAAAAAGTTGTATAAAATATCATCCACCTATCCGCATGTTGTATTACATGTGTTAAAACAACGCAGATGAATTTATATATTATGGTTTATTTAAAACCAAATGCAATGTTTTTTATTTATTTGTAACTTAAATTAAAAAAAAAAATGTTAAAAAAAATACATCTTTTAAGAGAAGACTTTTTAAATATTAAAGCGCTACTGATTAAGTTTTCATCTCATTATTATAATTCAAGCATCTGTAAGTTTGATTGTTTTTATATTTTCCAATATTAAGATACCCCCCAAAAAAAAAGAAAGAAAAAAACTTAAGACAAATAATAAAAAGATGAAAGTTTTTCTTCTTAATTTTTTTTTTTTTTGACGTATATATGCTGCTGATAAGAAAAATGACATATGAAAACGAATTTTTCCCGAAATTAAATTGTACAGATGTCAAATAATATTCGAGGACCATACCTCTTAAATTATAACGTTCGCGGTTTGAAAAAGTCAATAAAAAAAATATTTTTTCCATTTTTTTTTTAATTTTAATAAGCGTTTTTTCAATCAAATTTTACAGGTGCATGACCAGTGATTTGAAATTTAAATAAAAAAAATTTCGTCGATTTTTTTTTTTCTTAAAATATTTTATCTCTTAAGAAATATCCCTTATTATTTTGTCTGTGTTAAATCCGATTCTGGTTTTAGGCTCAATGAACTTGACTTTTCAAAAATTTTGAATACTTTTTATTGTAGTATTTCTATTTTTTTTATGACAATACTTATTGAACTTACTGCAAAATTTGTTATATAAAAGAAAACTTTTCAATCTATATAACAAACGTGAAAGATAATAAAAATTTAACAAAGAGACTAATGATCAGTAAAAAAAATGTGTAATTTAATCTTTTATAATATGTGCAACACTTGATTATTTCTGCTTTGGAAAAAGTTCCGTGTTAACATCAAAAAAAAAAAAGAAAAAAATATTTTAGTTTTCTATAAAAAGTCCGTAAAAATTATGAAGTTTTATGACAAAATTGAGCGATAGTTATTAATTTAATTTTCGGATGTAAAAAATTTCGAGTATTACATTTATAAATTAGTGTCGTGATTTTTCCACTTCAGACATTGTTCGTCAAATTTAACGTCAAATTTAATTTCAACTTAACGTCAGTTGTTTTAACGTCAACACTTTTAAATAACCAATCAAAAAGCATTGTTACAACCAATACTAAAATATGGAATTATATAATTAAAAACAAAATTTAAATGGCAACTATACTAATTAATCAATTCAAATATTAATTGTTGCTCCTTAAACAACTGCTACATAATTTTTGAAAAACACAAATTATTAAGATATTGTTTTTTGCTTAAGAATCTGTTATACGGATAATAGCATAAAAAAATTTCAGAGAAAATAAACTGAAAATTCTGAAATAACTGAAATATTTTATTAACTCGTGTATTATCGAATTTAAATTCTTGATACAGTGTTAACATATGTGTTTATTTGTATGATAGCGAGAAAATGTTGGATATAGCGTAATTTGGATAACTTCATTTTCTGTATAAACATATGTACATATAATATGCGTGTAAGGTGACAAAATAAGAAGATAATGGCTTTTTTTTAATATGCAAAATAATTTAATAAGGGACAAATTCGTATTTATTATAGCAGTAAAATTAAAAATTCATAAAACGGTACAAATTAATGCCCATTGACAATTTTAGGACATTAATACCGTTATGTCAAAAACCACAGTTTTTATCTGATAATAACCATATTATTAAGATACTTTTTGTTTTACATCTGATTAGGAATACGACACCTGAAGGCTTTTTTTTTGTTTATTAGTTTGACAAATTAATGCGATTAGTATTTTTTTCTTTTTAATTGGCATAAAGCCAATTTTTTTGTAAATTTGCGATCATTAGAAAAACTATTATGTATACATACTATAAGTCCTTTTAAAGAAAATTGATGAGATGGTCTATTTATTGCTTATAATTTACGTGTTCATTTTATGCTTTCATTATAGTGTCATTAATTCTCTCATAAAAAATCAAATAATCTGCTTTTTAAAAAAAAGAAAAAAAAAGATGCGCTCATACAATGTTGAATAAAAAAAAATTCAAGTAGTATTGATTAAGAAGTGACAAAATGTACAATGGAATGATCAATTTTTTTCAACAGACGTTTGTAGATTGTCAAATTATTTATTGAAAAGTTAATTGGTATATGGCCGAATTAATTCGAGTTTTTATATATTTTCTGTATCGGAGTAAACCAACTACATTTACAAATTATTGTTAATAATTATATGGTGAACAAGTGCTTTTTTCAGTTTTATTACGATATTAAAATAAATGAATACTTTCAAATAATTTATTTAATTGTTCTTCATCAACTTGAGTTCGTGTTCTAAAGTTTCCTGTTTGACCACATTATCTACTGTGAATGTGTATCATATATGTATATTCAACTTATTAATTTTATTAAATTAAACGATTTAATTTTTAATTTAACAACAATTTCCTTAAGTTGATTTGAGTGTGTATGTATGTATAGATGTTATATAAACATATTCATACACGAGCAAACATTGGAATTCGGACGTTACATTTCCCAATTTTATATAATGTGTATATACTTTATTATGTACTTGTATAATTTATTTTCTGTTTTTAATAGAAATTGTTTTATCTTAAAAATTTACTTACCAAAACTTTTTTAAGAAAAGAGAGAATAGAATGTACATACATATATGTATGTACATGTGAAATGATTTCATGTTTCTTATTTATTCATAGTTTTATTTCTTATTTTTATAACAAAAACAAATTTTAAATATATAAGTATGTAAATACGTTAATATCAAAAACAGTAAAGCACTTCTGAATGTTACCTCTTTATCTTCTGTTTTTTTTTTATATTTTACAAAAACATTGATAAATTTATCAAACTTACAATTGTTTTTTTTTCCACATTTAACTGTTAATTAATGGTAGAAAAATAATTTAAGTAGCCACTTTGGCAATCCATCTGTTGGTTATTTCATAAATTTGCATGTATTAAATTTTTACGTACATCTTCATTATTGCATTTGATAATATTACGTTTATACGAATATTATATAAAATTTTTAATTTTACCAGCAGAAAATTTTTACTTCTAAATTTATTTAGAGTTTCTTTTATATCTCACCTTATTATAAATACAATTTAAATATTTATATTGCATTTGTGAAAAAAAAGGCAAACTTAATGTAAAACAAAATCAATTTCTTAATATCTTATAATGTCAAATATGTAATTGCATACGCGTAGCTCTTTTACATCGAGTTTAGCGTTTGAATGTAACCCATTAATTTTTTTTTTCGATGTATCGAAATGATAAACTAGCTGTCAAATTTCCTTTTTTCAATACTTCAAAATAGGCAGCTGTTTGTCAAATTGAAGCTATCAAAAATTTTAGGGAATCACAAAAAAAGAGAAATAGTAAATACAAATTTATTTTGGGAATTAAATTTTTCTTTTATTTTGTGAATTAAAGTGATATTGTAACTGCATTTCTTAAATAAAATTATATAATTAAATCTAACGTATCAATTTAATCAATCAATTTATTAATAAATGTAAAAAAATTTTAATAGTATGTATAAACAAATGTTCCAATCTTAATACAAAACAATTTCCATTGGCTGATTATAAAGATCAGTCAAAAAATGGAAACAGAAAGATGCAAAATCTCATTGAATAGTCCAGAAAGCATATATTTTGCCGGACAGCAAATCAAAGGACAAGTCAGTTTAACATTAATAAAAAGGACTAAAATTCGTGGTAAGTATATGAGGTAATTTTATTGTACGCTGATCTCACAACTTATAACTTCCATATCTAAATATGTACATATATATGTACATAAATAGGAACCTACTTTGTATACTTTTCGTTGACACAAAGAAACATACGTAATTATAATAGTATGTATAGTGATGAAATGTGCTTAAAAAAACATGGAAGCAATAATGAGATGAATCACTGCTTATAGCAAACAAAAAAAATTAGAATACTTATGTATAAAAAAAAAACCAACGAAAAAATGCAAAGGTCAGCCAATGCACCTTAGTCCGCAGTATTTTAATACAAATATATGCAGATACATATATGTTTTTACTGTACATGTACATAGCTACATATTTGCTAATGTAGTAAAAATTATTTTTAGCTATGCTTAAGGTTTTGTAGAATTTGAAAAAAAATTTAGATTTTTTATTAATTTATACCTAAAAATATACATTTTCAATAAAATCTCGGGGCAAATGTTCATTGCAGTTAACCATATTTACTTTTAATATTTTAGGTATAAAATTTCGCATTACAGGAAAAGGAAAATGCAACTGGGTGGAATTTCTGCGGCGCGATTCTCAAGTTCTTGCGTCTCCCAGCGCAAAGCCCAATCCACGCTCAATTATATATACAGCTAAGGAAACTTATATTTTAGAAGAGTTATATATATTTGGATCAAACAATGGAAGACCAATTGAATTAGAGCCAGGAGAGCATACATATGAATTAACTTATGAATTGGATAAAAATCTTCCCTCTAGTTTTTCGGGAAGTCATGGTTCAATAAAATACAAGACGAAGTTTATTATTGAAAAACCATGGACTTTAAATGAAAAGTATACTGTTCCAATTACTATAGTCAAGTCATTTCCAATGCCTCCAGCAATATTGAACACTTCCAGTCTTGACAGATTTTATCAAGTAACCAGGAACGTAGGAGTATTTGGGGGAGGACCTATATCTTTAGCAGCAGAACTGCCCAAAAGTTATGTTGTTCGTGGTGGAAAATTGAAATTAAAAGTTACTGTAGAAAATAAAAGCGGCACACATGTTGATCGCTTAAAATTTTCGATCAAGCAAATTGTTACTTATTATAGTGAGCAACCTTTATGTTTGAAAAAAGACCAAATCACAAAGTTGTTCAAGAAGGAAACTGGCGGTATTCAAAAGAAATCTACTAGAGAATATGAACATGAATTACAAGTTCCATCATGTCAGCCAAGTGACGTTGATTTCAGTAAAATTATTCACGTTAAATATGAAGTTCAAGTTGAGGCGATTCTTCCTGGTTTGCACAAAAATATTTCAGTGTCTCTACCATTTTTTGTCTGTTCTGCTGAATATAATCCTGTCGTAACCGGTGGAATAGGATGGTTCGCCTATCCAAATCCTAATGTATCAATATATTCAGAACAATCTTTAGCTGGTAGTCCATCTCACTCAATGTATAGTGATAATCAATCGATATATTCTGCAAATTATGACTCCTCGATTAGTGATGATTCAGTAAGACTGAGTATAAGTACTTCAACAAGGCGGAGTTTTCGCAATTCGATTGGGTTCGATATACAACAAAGACATTCATCTTCTGATGAGAGCACAACCGGAACATTAAATCATCAAAGAAATCATAGTATATCAAATTCGAATCCTTCTAGTTACCACCAGTATTGTCCTGAACTGCGTACGTTTTAAATATTTTTTTTCATTATTTCTAAACTGAGATTAATAGTTTTTTAATTCATATTATCTAGCTCCATCCTATGAAGAACTTTTTGGCAGTCCATCTATGTCTACTTCAGCAGAGCCGTCAGCCCCACCTCTATCTTCTTCATCTCCAACTGGAGCGAAATAATATTTTTATAAATATTAAAATATTAGCATAAATATTTATATAATTGCTTATACAACCATTTTTAATTTACACTTAACTAAACTAAATCATGACAAGTAATTTTAATATAATATTAATATGTAGTATATTAAAGCAATATATAAAAAACTATTTAAAGAAACACAAATTACTATAGCATTAAAGGAAATTATCTATGTAGCTAGAATGAAATTATTGTTAACGTTACGCATAAATCAGTTTAAAAGAATTGATAACACAAAGAAATTGTTAATGCAAAGAATTTAAAAATATTTTATGTACATAATCCACATTTAAATTAATTCTATAGAAGAGAATTTAGTTTGAGATTTTTTTATTTTTGCTTTATGGATGTTTTTTTTTTTTACTTCATACCTTTTTTTCTACAAAGTGCACAATTAATTATATTGTTCACAAAATATATTATTTATAGGATTGGTATATTTATGTATATATCATTACATAAAAAATAAATGATTTTTTTTTATTCAAATTCAAAGTATCTTGTAATTAATTAAATTGTATATTTCGTAACCATGTTTTGCAATAGGTAAACTTTCTCAATTGCTGGGAACATTTATACAAAACCTTAAATTACAAACATGAACCACAAATTTGAAAAAAATTAAAATCACTATGAAAATTACGTTCAATTATTTCATAAAGAAGGTAAGAATATTCTATTAAGTACTTATAATAGACCAACACTGATTTGTTAAAAGAAGTTTTTATAATAAAATTATAATTTATTAGCGCGAAAAATTATAATGATTTTCAATGCATATTTGACACTTTTAATTCATTAAAAGGTCAATTATTTTAATGAAATACTTTGATATTTACTTCATTTACTTTGATTTGAAATTCAAATGTTTTTAACATTTAAAAAACATTTGAATTTTTTCTATCTAGTTCTACCACTAGATAGTCATGCTAAACGCCCGTGTAGTGTTTATGTGCAAAACTGCATAAAGGGTTAATAATTAAACAGCCAAACATTATAATTGACAACAAAATTGACATATAATAATGATTGAACAATTCTGTGTGGAAAAAACACAAAATGTGGCAACACTTCAAGACCGTCGATATCTTTTGACATAAGTTTATTTTTATTTTCACTAAAAGTCGGGTCTGGCTGTGGAAAATAAGGTGCGCCACGCAATAGAGTTAAATAAATTCAATATTTTTAATTTAAAAAAGAAAAATAAAATAATTTAAAATGGGAATAAAAGGCTGTCAAATTCAATTAGATAATCCATGGAATACCTATTATGCTGGACAAACAGTTAATGGACAAGTGTTATTAACTTTTGATAAACCCAAAAAAGTTCGTGGTAAGTACAAATGTATAAGTACAAAAACATACCTATGTAGGTATATGATATATTTTAAATCTTGTGGGAGTTTCTCTAAATTTTATTAATTCTTTCAATTCATATCAAACTTTTCTTTAAATATTGTTTTACTTTAAAGATCAATATCGGAATATTGAAATTTAGCTCATTCAAATAAAAATTGAGAAAATGACTGGGTGTGTAAGTCATACAATCTTTTAATTGCAAATAGACGAATTTACTGAACGTAATATTAAAAGGATTTATTACTTATTACTTTATTTTTAAATGCTTTTTTACAAATGCATTTTTTTGTAAAATAGTAAAATATAAGTTTTAAGAAATTTATTATATTACCTATATATGTATATGCGTATGCAAAACAATTAGGTAAAATATTTTGTGAATGACATCATCTGTACAAATATGCAGAATGATTAATAATTATTACTTCAATAAATAAATATAGCTATGTATTTAATTAATTGTGAGTAAAACCTTCAGCTGAATATTTCTCAAAAAAAAATATTTTTTTCAAAAATATGCATTTCGCTTTCAGTTTTTTTAGAATTACCTATTCAAAAATGGGATACCTATCCACTAACCTACATATTTTAGTTTATCTATAATCATCACAAATGTTTTATTTTAGAATTAAAATCTAAAAATAGTCTCCTTTAGGAAAATATAATATTAATTATGTTATAATCTGTGTATGTAGTAGAAAAATCATTTTTACTTAATATTTTTGTATACCAAGCATAAAGTATGTACACCAAGCATTAATTTTAGAAAGAAATAAAAATTTATTGTTTTATTACATAAAATAATATCTATTGCTTCTAAGTTTAAGTGATTTGAAATCTTTCGCAGGAATTACAGCAAGATTTTTAGGTGAAGCCAACACATCTTGGCAGGAAGTAAGAAAAACAACTAATACTCAAACTGGAAAAGAGGAAGATGAAACTGAAAACTTAACTGGTCATGAAGAATATTTTCAAATACAATACTATATACTAGGTGGAAAAAATGCCGCAGAAACCGAACTTCCGGCTGGTACACATACTTATCCATTTTCATGTGCTTTACCTCCTACACTACCATCAAGTTTTGAAGGGGCACATGGGCATGTTCGTTATACTATTAAAATAACACTAGATCGTCCTTGGAAATTTGACCAAGATATGAAAATGGCTTTCACGGTTATTTCTCCAGTGGATTTAAATTTGAATCCTAGGATTAAAGTAGAAATACGACGTTATTTTAATATATAATATGTAATTCTCAAAACTTTTTTTTTTTGTTTTAGGAACCGGCCAAACTCGAACTTGAAAAATCATTCTGTTGTTTTTGTTGTAAATCAGGTCCATTAGCTGTTATTGTTCATGTTCCAGTTTCTGGTTACGTTTCTGGACAAATTATCCCAATTACTGCTGAATGTGATAATGCTAGTAATGTTGACATTAATATTATCAAATTTATTTTGAGGAAAGTCGTTACATTCACTGTGACTCAACCACGAGCTGACAAAAAAGTGGAGAAAGTAACTATTGCTGAATTGAATGTGGGACCTATAGCAGGAAATGAATCGAAAAATTTTAATCAACAATTAGAAATCCCGCCACTTCCTCCTTCGAATTTACAAAATTGTGGACTCATTGATTTAGATTATCAATTGTATATTGAAGTTGATGTTAGTGGTCCCCATACAAATTTAACAGGGCATATTCCTATCACATTGGGTACCATACCACTAGTTTCTTTTCAACCTCCCGCTCCAATGACCGATGTTCCTATTCAAGATCCTTCTATGGCTCCAACTCAACCCGTCAGCCCAGCTAGTCCACCGAATGGTAGCGGGGGCGCCTTAGGATGGAATATGGGAGATTCTGGTCAATTATATCCAAATATGCGTAAGATTTTGTATACTTTTTCTTTTGAAATTCATATTATTATAATTTTATTTTTAGCCCCTCCAACATTTTCTGAAGGCGACTTCAAACCTGAATCAATAGTTGACAGACAAGACTCTGAACATACGGCTCTTATCGGCAATTTTGCTCCGAGATACCCGACTTACCAATTTAATAAGCCATCCGCTCCGTCATATTAAAAACATTCGTTTTCTATAGGTCTAGTTTTCATATTAAATATTTGTTTCTTCAAAATTAAAGAGCCTTCCAATAAAAGCATCCAAATACTATTAACTTTTCGTATTGAATTATAATCAAAAAATAACATCGAATATTGAAAAACAAAAATAGTAAATAAGTACAAAAGTTTTCAAAGTTTTAACATATTTACTGAAAATTTTCATTAAAAAATAAATTTGTAATCTTTTGAACTATATATCAATTATTTAAAACTGGGAATATTGTATAACTTTCAATGGTGTGGTATTAATTCCAATTGAGGAATGAAAAAAAATCTTATGATTAAAATAATAATTTTTTAAATAGAATAAATTATAAGACATTGTAGAGCTAAAAAAATCCCTTCATTTCTTAAATGTAAAAAAATCAATTAAATTTCTACAACATTGTATTGGATAAAAATGGATGCTTCAAATTGTTATCAAAATTACTAAATAAAAAAAAAATAAATTGCTTTAAAAACTAAACTCAGGAACATGTTCGTTTCAAGTAAAATAAAAACAAATATAATTTGAGTGCGAAAAACACAGTATAATATAGAAGAATGTTGTTTATTAAGATATAGCAATATCTTCTTTTTACATGTTCATCTATTATGAAATTTTTAAAAAATTAAAATAGTCCTAATAATTAACTAATAAATAAACTTGTAATAATTGTTCTTAGTGCCTAAAGATATACATAAAGACATAAGGAAAACAAAAAAAAAATTTTACAACAGCTTAGAATTGTAATTAAATTTGTCAAGAAAATTTTAACCGTCTCTTATTATAATAATATGGAAGATGATTTCGAATACTTAATTATATTAACTTAAAAATATAGAAATAAAAATGTGCTGTTTATTTTAGATGAATATTAGTAAAATTTGCTTTAAAAGTTTAAAAATAAATTTGCTTGTTATAAACTTATGCAATTTTAAATCAGAAAAAAATATGAATGTATTTAAATCATTTTTTGCTCAACAGATATTAATATTGTATATATTTTGAAAATAAATTATTCAGGAATCCTGAAATATTAATGCCAGTCCATAAAAATTAAAATAAAATAAAAAAAATTTATTAATATAAAAATGTATAAGCAAGTAAACTTATATTTCTCATACATATATTTTTCAGATTCTGAATTTTGTATTTTCAATTTATGTTGCCATTTTACAATGCTATTAAAATTAAAAAGATCAGCTTAATATATTTTTCATATTCAAAAGTATTTTTATATTTCAATCAAATTATTACAATTTATAAAATACTATTAAGTACATAATTTAATTTTACTTTTATTTTAATTTTGCGTATAAAATATAAAAAATAATTTTAAAATTAATATTAATCACAAAGAAAAAAACGCAATCAATAATAATTGTTAAAATATTAATATATATAAAAAAAAAGGAAGTAAATTCATTTTCTATGCATTTTACAACCACGATAACAATTAAGAAATAAAGAAAAATATTTTTTTACAAATAATTTGCACAATGACTTGTTAAATGATTTAAAACAAAAAAATTAAAAAATAATTTAAAAATAAGAACAAAATATGTAGATTTACGAATCCTTTCGTGGGTAAGCAATTTTGTTCAAATACGAGTAAAATTAAGCTTCAAAAACATTTTAAAAATTTTGGAAATTTTTTGATAGAACTATTTTTTTGGACGAACTCATACAAATTGTGTTTCTGCGATTTGATTCGTAAACATATAATTTAGAAAAAAAATGTGTTGCATTTTGTATGTAATTTAGTTGTATATATTTACATAATTATATACGAAAAACTTACTTTAATTTAATTTTTCTTATAAATATTTATATTATTTTTTATTGTAAACATTGCATCATTTATTTTGATATTTTTGTTATTTTTTTTTTTTATTTTTACTCTCACATAAAATTATTCAGATAAAATGTATTAAATTTTCAATAAAAAAAAATTGGTTTTTGTTTTTTATATTTATTGTCCTTTGAAAAAGAAATAAAACTCAATGGCAATTTAAAGCGACCAATAAAATATTTGAGCAAAACTCTAGATTATATTTCATACTTGAATATCTAAAATTATTTTTAAAATTTCATCGCTTTTGTAAACACATTTTCAAACTCATTTTCAATTATTAATGAAAAATTTTAAGTTTTAGAAATTCTGTAGAAATCCAACGTCCACTTTTTCTGTTGTTTTTGTTACTAACATTCTAGGGGCATCTACTTGTTTCTTATCCTTAAGATAAATATAACAATACAAAATTTAATATTTGAAATATAATTATTTTTATGTATTTATGGAATAAATAACAATGCAAAATATTAATGACAAAAGTATATACATACACATACAGGTAATTTTACGTTGAATATTTATTTATATCTAATGACTAAAAAGCTTTAATTTTTCAAAAGCAAATAGTTGAAATATATCTATTCAGTTGCACCATTAATTATAAAACCAAATAACTGATTCATTTCTTTTTAAAAAAAAATTTAATATTACATAAAGCTCATTACAGTATGTAAAAGAAATTTTTTATACATTTTTAAAATAAATTCAATTGTCGTCCAACTTTTTTTATTTGATTTTCAATTGTTTTATCTTCAAATTCACAAATAAAATTTTGTCTTGATGTACATTCTTGACCATAATAAAAGTATGTATGTTTTGGTGGATTATATGAAAGTCTAAGACATCTTCCATTACCTCTAATTTCCATAATATTATTTAATATTTTATTATTTATATCTTTCGTTGTTTCCCCCTTATTATTAAAATCATTTGTTGAATTTTGATAAGTACTTGCTATTGATGTTAAATTTGTATTTGGATTAACAGGTTTAGCAGAATTTGACCATATCCATAATAAACCAGGATTTAATCCACCTAACCAAAAATCTTTACCTCTATGATGTGGATGATTTAAAACATATGCAACAATATCTTCATTTTCTGAAATAGATTCAAATTCAGCTAAATGTGAGCTCATTGATTTGCATATTGAATTTGCTGATTTCCAATTTAATTGCTGCTCTGATAAATGATAACAATTATCTCCAACTTTAGTGAAATTTTTAGGGCATGGATCAGGTACGATATCTAAAATAAAATTATGATTAAGTTCGTTTTTTACTTTTTATTTTTAAATGTGCAATACATGAAACTATTTTTTTACACTCTTTTAAAAATTTATATATACATATATGTATGTATATCGTAACATATATAAACTAAAAAGTTTATACACATTCGCACATACGACATTATACTTACATCCATATGTATGTGCATAAAAATTTCATTTTATCTTTTCGGTTTAACACAAAATAAATTCCAAAAAAAAAACTTTAAACCAAATAGATTTACAAATAAAAAAAAATAAATAAGAAAAAAACAAGTCTTTCAATGAAAGTGAAAACAAATTTGTAAGCTACATAGGTACCTGCATTCATACATTAAATTAATATTTGTTTTTATATATTAATAATGGATTATTTAAATTTGAATATGTTCATTAAAAATTTAATATGAAAATAAAATTATAAGAAACCCGCACATTGGAGTTTTTTACAAATACCTACAATAAAAACTAAATTTTATGCTTAATACGTAGCATGCGGTAATTTTAACAGCACATAGTATGCACTATAACGTTTATCGATTATGTAATTTTACGTATACAAAATTTTAAAAACGGAAATACATTACGTTCATGTAAATACGCAAATCTTTTTTGTAAATGGGAAAAATATGTGCGTCATTGTAAAATCAAAAAGTTGATCACTCATTTCTTGTTCTCTATCTTATTTTTCTACAGATTCCTATTCCAAATTCACTAAAATAAATTATTTGGAAATTAAATTAACTGAACGATTTTATTTTTGATTAAATTTCAGAGATGCCAGAATGTGTTATGGCTTCAAAAACGCAATCATACTACATTGTTACATTATTCAGCAATTAAAATTCATAAGCTGAATTGTGTGTTGAGAAAATATCACTACAATATTAAAATCTAAGATGCTTAATAAAATTTTATATTAGGGTAGTTTAAAAAGAGTTTAATTATTTTGAGTTTGCTTTTTTTTATTTCAAGAAATCGAGAATCGCTAAAAATTTGATTATATAAAAACACGAAATTTAATTATATAAATTGCTTAAAATTATTACTGTTGAATATATACTCGTCGTGGGTTTCTTAACTTAAGATAACGTGTGTTTCTTAACTTAAAGATTATTTTATTCCGTCATTTTTAACAATAAACTTGAAAATTTAAAAATAATTTCAAGAAATGTTCATCTGTACCTGAAATTCCATGACTTATTAGCCTAATGCGACTCTGTTTATACGCAATATATATATGCAAACTCACGTAACTATTATATTATTATATATTCACGAGTTATACCTATATTTGTAACTATTGTTTTAATTTTCAATATATCTAATATACCATATGTAAATATGTATATCATTTGTTCATTATGGTATAAAAATAACGTTGACATGATTAATAACGTAATAAAATTTTCTTTAAATTTTACCTTCTCTCTTGTTTTGGTTATTTCCAGCCATTAGATAATAAATCAATTGTTCCGATCTACGTACACGGCTTTCTAGATAATCCATACGATAAACTAATTTTTCCATAGCACCTAGTAAATACAAATCCGTTTCAGATACTTCACGTAACGGTTTATTATTAACTGATTGGAAAAATTGTCGATTTAAATTTCCTGTATTTGACTGTATTGGTGGAGGTGGTGGTAACGGTGTATTTGGTGGGCCACCGTTGCCTAATAAATTTGGAAAATTTCCTATTCGCGGAGGACGTTTATTATTATTAATTGCATCATTTTCTGATTCATCAACTCGTCTGGTAATATAAAAATTTGATGATGGTATAAAATGTTGTTGATATTGTCCTTCCATACGTGACATCCGGTTTGTTTTACTGTATTCAATACATTAAATATATTTTCATTTATTAATTTTTTTATGTACCTAAATAAAATACCTTAATGCATAGTCTTCTAAAAGAGATGTCCATGCATCTGATATAAAAAGTTTATTATCATCATATGGATCAGTCCAACTTATTGCTGATGCTGTTGATCTTTTATCAACTAAAGAATTTGTTACATTTTTCTCAGGTAAAATGTAAGTTCCATTAACTAAACTATAAATGGCAAATGAAGTAAAAATGAAAAGTATTAATTTTTGTAACACTTTCATTTTTACAAGTTTTACATATATTTTAATTTTTTTCGTTTATGTATGTATGTATGTATATTTTGTACTACAATAACTATTTATGTTATGGCGTTGATATTCTTTAAACTTTACTGCAAGATGGTTAAACGTAAACTGATCATATAGCAATTTTAATACGAAAATAAAAAACTTTCTTCCGAGTGGTATTTTATTTTATAGTTTGTTTGTGAATTAAAATAAGCTCAATAAGAAGTTCGTTACCAAAAAAGAAAATAAACGTATGTACAAATGTATGTATGTATAATAAAAAATCAAAATAAGAAAATTAAAGAGTCACAGTCATGGCAAATCGCTATGCAAATCAAAATTAAATGATCATTTTTACAAAATTATAACTTTTCAAAAGAAGCAACCTAAAGAATAAGTTTTTTCTCGTTAAATATGGAGTGGGTAACAAAAAAAAATTACGTACTTACTTTTCCTAAAACTAACTGATTAGCCCTTATTTGCTATTGTATTTGAAGAAGACATTTGAACTACCGTATTTAAGATATATTCTGTTTTGCTAATTTCACTTCTGTTTATTTAAAGCAGGAGCCCTCAAACATACGTCATTATCATAACAGATCTGTGGTAGTAAGCACTTTGTTTATATTCCACCTCCCACGCGGAGTTTTCTTCTAACTCCCACTATTTGTTTGAGTACACACTAAATTCACAATTAAATTTTTTCTTTATAGTAAAGATGATCTTCGAAATATTCCTATAACTAAGTGCTAAACTTAACACTAAGTATAGATAAGCATAGATAAGTTTGCATTGTTTCTCATAATGAAACAATTTGAATTTAAAATGTCAATAAAAAAATACGTTTCCATTAATTTGACTTTCCCTTTATTTCCAGCTTTTATTTCACATCTGCTTAAAACATAATGTAGATAATGCCAAATTCATTTAGATGTGTATGTATTTACTTACAACTCTTTTTAAATACTAAACTCATGAAGATGAGGATCTGCCGGATTTATACTAATACTATGAAACATCATGTATAGTGAAATTTTATAGTTGACTCATGCATATTTCAATATTTTTATTGGTCGTTAAAACCTTATTTTGCAAGGTATACACTACATTAAATATCTATATTATTTTTTTGAAAATATTAATAGTAAGATGAATCGAAGCAGTTAATCATCCATCTCTGCTCTCCCTCTTGCTCCTTTTCAATTTTCCTACTTCCTTTTAAAATGTTTGATTATATTTTTTATAACAAATTTTAATATATTTACGAAATTCAAAGAAGATATAATCATTCTTGGGAAAGGTTCATTATTCATTTAAAACTAAATTTCTTATTCATACAAAATACCTATAATGCCCACAAATCGAACGAGCTTCAAATTGGATTCTCCTGTAAAATGGTAGGTTTATTTCTAATCTATGATTCGAATTATACACATATAATGTATACATTAAGTTGAATATATTAAGGGCCATTTGATGCAAAATTAATGCGCCTCAAATAAGTTAATTAAAATCATATTATGTAGATCATAAATTTTATAATAATAATACTTTATATATATATAACACTATATATAATATAATTTCATTTCTTAAATTTTACACTTACATTATTTCTCTTAATTTAACTAAACTATTAGAACAATTTTTTTTAATTGTTATAGGATTTTTTTAGTTTTAATTTCTTTAAGGTGATCATCATTCTTGATATTAATGCTCTGTAAAAAAATAAATGTTAATAATTTATTTAAGTTAGTTTAGCAAAAATGGTTTCTCCTTAAATTAAGACTAAATTTTGTCATGTATGTGTATGAAATAATTTCATTAATGATCAATTTTAATAATTATTTAGAACATATTTATCAAAACAAGAAGTGGGTTATCCAACCCAAATTTGCTAAGTGTTAATCATACTAAAATTACATCTATATCATGGAATAACAAAATTTAGTCCTTAATTTATTAAAAACTAACTAACCCAAAAAATGTTCAACTAATGACATAGCAGCAAATCCAAATCCAACTGATAAAAATTGTGCTATACCAGCATATCTTTTTGTTGGATTTTGATGCCATCTAGCCCTTTCCCTAGGTAATACTTCACAAACTGTTACATAAAGTAAAGTACCGCCAGCTAAAGCTTGTAGTATCGGAAAAGCAGATTTACTCCATTCTGTTGGTATACCATCTAAAGCCATACCAATAGCGATTCCAATAACTGAACCTAAACTAAATATCGTTACAGCTAATAAATGTTTTTTAATATTTGAATTCGATGTCATTCGTATCTCGAGACCTAAACAAAAGCTCATAACATATTTATGACAAGCGACAGCTAAAAATAGCACCATTACCTAAAAAACAAAATTTAATATAAAAATGTATCTGAATTTAATAATTAAATATTTAATTATAAATACTAACTCCAGCACTTGTATTTTGTAATCCAATTGCTAATCCCTCAATTATAGAATGTATTGAAAGTGCTGTAACTAATCCTAGTGCTCCACTTCTCGTTTCCGCACAAGGTTCATCATGACTTGTATAACAAATTCTTGCATTTCCTTCATCAGCATCACAAGTCTCTCCAGGTTGATGATGAGAATGACTAAAATATACAAAATATGTTTTGTAATTATAAATGTTAAATTTTTTGTACAATTTAGCTGATAAAATTCATGAAAACTTTAAAACATCTAATGTCTAAAATCAAAAAATATATACATACATATATATTGTGTACATTATTTTTTTAATAAATTTTAATCTTCGTTAACATACTTATTAAGATATTTGCATAACTATTTAAAATCTGATATAAAAATCACAATAATTTTAACTTTAAATTTTAACTTAAAATAAAACAAAATAAATAAATACAGTGATGTTCTAAGATAAACATGTACATACATATATACGTACATAATGTAATCAGATATTAGGAAATTTTAAAGTTCCAAAATCTTATCAAAATTTTCATTTAAATTCTGTTATCACTTTGTTGCTAACATAAATAGACAAAAACATTTCATATGAAATTTAAATATAAATTATTAAAAATCATAGATAGCTAATACTTTAAATTACCTAGCTCCATTATTTAATAAAGCTTCATATTCATAACCTGAAATATCTGATGATGTTCCATAATGATTATAATTTGTTTCATGAGGATCATTTTCAGAATTATCGTGCATATGTTGTAATGCTTCACCAAAAAAATAATGTATAAATTCATCAATAAAATAAATTACAAAAAATCCAAGGCACAGATAAACTTCAGCATTTTCTGACATATCTTTTCGTACCTAAAACATAAATATATGTATGTATTGTAATTTTAATTACACAACATAATATGTAGTGATCTTAATTGTTTTTAAAAATTGAATTTCAAATTTATATTTTGAAACTTACATCAACTAAAATATGAACTAAAGCTGTTGCCAATAATACACCACCTCCAAAACATAACATTAATGATATAAAAAAATTCTCTTTTCTTTGTCCATATGATATTAAACGTGGTAAAATACCAGCAACTAAACTGCCAACTCCTAATACAAACATTGCTAAGATTTTATATCGAATAGCAAAATCTGGATCAAAATCATTTAAATTTGATGTGGCATTTTTATTTGCCCCTGCTGTTGCATTAGACATTATTACGATATTACTTTCTTCCATTTTTCATAAAATTTCATGTAAGTTATCTTAACAATAATTAATTTATTTTGACCAGTCAATCAAATCTAACGATATTTCAGGTAATATAACTACTTATGTACATATGTACACATGTATGTATGTTATATTTTGATTTTTTGTTTTTTTTTTTTTCAGTAAAAATGAATTACAACTTTTCAAAAATACAGATTACACAAATGTAAATTTTATTGTACATACATATGATTTCATGTATCTATGTATGTATTAATGTATGTAATTATTATTGTAGTAAATATCACAGCCTATGAAGAATCCATTGATGTTGAAGGTGATGAATCTACTGAGAATTAAAATTAATTTTAATATTATATGGGATGCTCATTTATTTTGATAGAATTATCATTAAATTTATTTAAATATATAAAAATTTCTTTTTTTTTTTTTTTTGATAATTCATAATATAAACAAAAATGATAATGAGAGTTATTTTATTTATTTATTTAAGAGAAATATTTCAGGCTTAAAGTAATAGACGAATGAGTGTTTCATAATAAAGTAGATAGATGTCGTATGGTATGTTTATATTGTATATTGAGAAGTGTTATATTATTACGAGTATTATGTTTATTTGTTTACATATGTATTCATTTATTTAAATTTATAATTAATAAATAAAATTATATTAATATTCAGTATCAAATTAAAATACTTATGTTTTATAAATTTTTAAAAAATTAACAATTTATTTTTTGTTTCTTAAAAGTTAATAAAGCAAAACTGGCTTTAATCTGCAGTTTCATTATAACTCTAAATTTTTAAATATCAGAAAAAAAAACTGCTAATTTATATTGTATATCTGTATGTACATATCTAATGTGAGCAAACAATTCACAATTATACCTCAAGCTATTCAAAGTTCATTCCTTTTCTTATTTATCACACTTTACTTAATGGTATATTTCAAAAACAAATTTGAAAAAACTATAGTAGCACATAAGGCACTAATAAATTTAAAAAAAGCTTAGACCAACCGAATTTTATCTATTTAGGTATACAATATTAAAAATGTCTACGTAGTAAAAATAAATATTTTTAATAAAAAAATTCATATGTATAGATAGTATTTATATTCATTTTTTAAATAATTAGCCATAAATTTATTTAAATAATAATATATAAACAGTTATATATTATCTGATATTATGTATATATCTGTGTATTTAAATATTTTAAAGAAAAATAAATGATAAAAGTAAAAAAGTTGACTGATAAATTTTAGGTGAATTGCCTTTAATCTCAAAGAAGGTGTATATACCAAAACAATATATAATTCAGATATATAAAATAAGAAAGAAAATACTTTTAATTACTTTTTTGTGCAAACGCACTATTTTCTCTAGCTTAGAAATTATCCCATACAATACTGTAAGAATTAATAACAAATGTACAAATCTCAAATGTACAAATTTTGAGTTATGTCAGTGTTGTGGCAAACAAGCGAGGTTTTTTTTTGTTTTTCGGAAAAAATATTTTAATTTGATTAGTAGAAGAATTATAATGATTTGAAGCTCTAATTATAAATATACCGAATACTAGGCATTGTTGATTTTAAAGTATCATTAATCGTTAATTTTTCAAATTCAATAATAATGACATAAATATGTATGTATGCAAACATGGTTTGATAGCTCAATTTAAGTAATTTCAACTTAACATTACTTTTCTTTGAATTGTAATTAATTTCTTATAGTCATTTATACTTTATAGCATGTATACTCCAGCTTTGTGCCCGAAATTTAATACAAAACTTGCAATAGTACTTTATTTCATATATATTTCTAGAATCTAGTTAATATCACATTTGTAATACGCATTTTTGTTTTTATCGTAACAAACTACAATTGGCTATATTAGGCTGGAAACAGAACAAGAATAATTTTCCTCGGCGAAATGTCATAGAATTCATAAACATATTCAAATGGGACTACCTACGAGTAGAACATCTGTCTCCATGTGTGTGTGACATACTATGCAAAATATGTACTGTATATAACTATATACAGTTGATTTTGCCGTTCCGCTGGTGTTTTCCGATTAACGACAGCAATCGTCCACCATTGTCGTTCACCACTTTGGTTCTATTTTTACAATTAATATTACTTATTTATTAATGGTTCGTTAGCGTAGATGAATAGATTAAATATGAATTATGGAATTTTTCATAATTATCATAATTAGTATCAAATAAAGCAAAATTATTACACTAAACAGCAAACTTACACTTAATTGTATTGCATTCATATTCATTAAGAAACTATAAATAACGCAAAAGCTTGGAAAAAGTAACATCATAATGCGTCGTAAAATAATATAATGAATATATTGAAATTATTTAGGAAAAACCCGAAATTTATAACTTTAATCTTAGTCATTTGAAAATACTCGACACTTATACTCGTATGATTATGTGCGTGGGTATGTGCTTGTATAACAATATTATGTAAATGATAAAGTGCATATGCTCCAATATGTATTTTGTATGTAAATAATTTAATGCATCTGGTTGTTATTTATATTAATGCAGTGTCGGGACATCATTACTTGTTTGAATGATTTGATACTTTTTTTCTAAAAAAAAGTACCGTTATCTCGTCCCTTATTTCTTAAAAATATTAAAAGAATTTCGGCGCTATTACATAATTAAAAATTTATTTATTTATTGAGCAATGAAGATTAAATAAAAAAATATTGTTGATATCGTCTTTCTTTTGTAAAGTCAATAAAGGTTTTCCAAAAATAATAAGAAAATATAAACAATCCTTATATGTAGGTATGTATGTATAGATGTAGGTAATGTCACTTTTCAAAGAAATATGTATTTTCATGTTTTTGCTTTGTAAATAAGTAATGAAATTTTAAGGTCTATAATCTGATTGTGATTACATTATTTTATGTTCCTACACTTATCTGAATCAAAAATTAAATTATTTCATAGCAATATGACACATTTTTTGTTAATTAAAAATTTGATACATACATATATTTATATATGTATACATACTTAAAAACAAATTCAATTTCCCTATATACTTATACATATATGTATTTATAACCATATTAATTAATAAAAAATATATTTTATAATCAAAAGTAGAGCTTGACTATTTTTAAATCTACCTACATACATATACATATGTATATTCTAAGATATACAAAATACAAGGAAATCGAATTTCATCAGAAAACCAAGCTTAAAACCTATTCTGCAATTTCAACAGAATATATAAATTGACGAATACTCGGGCTCAACTACGAATGCTTACATATGCATATAAGTACATTATATAAAATTTTATTATTATGTTAAAAATAATATTGAGAAACTAGAAATTTCCAATGAAAAAAACAGTAATATATTATTTTCATTGTTTAAAAAACTAAATAGATAACAGTTAACAAGAAAAATTTTCACAATGAAGTTTTTACAGATAACAAATACCTTGGAATAAATTTTTCTTTGAATGTACAAGATGGGGTTCGTTTATGTTAAGATATATTATGCACGTAGAACGTAAAGGCTTAAAGTTATTAATGCTTTTTCTAAAAAAATAAATAATTGATAAAATAGGGAATATAATAAAACATTTCTTATTGCAATATTACGTAATGTCAACAATAATACGGAATCTACAAAGACATCATACCATACCTACTATGATATACCGAGTACTCGATATACCTTTGTCATTTTTGCAAATGAAAATATTTCTGCATTATATGAGTGCATATCAAGCGCAACGGCATTTTATATATTAAATTATTTACATTTTCTTCTAAACCTATTTATTACGAACACTCTCTATTACTTAGTTATAATTGTGTTTAAACCATTGTCATTAACTTTAATTATGAGTTCTTATTGTTCTAATTCTAATAATAGTAGGAAAATATGATAACTATACTAATGTAGGTATATGTAACAGGATAGTCATATGTAAATATTATAGTTGATTGAATGTAAAATATTTATTCTATCATAACAGATTATACGCATCATAGTATCCATAATATTGATACAAAAATAATAACGTATTCATACCTATGTAGGTACGAGTCTCGTAGGTACACATAACGTGTGTATTAATAAATATAATTATGTATTTGCCTTATCTTTAAATCCATAATTAATTTATTGAATTAGGTACACGTGTAGCTTAGAGTGTAAAAATAAAAAACACAATTGTGCAAATAGAATAATTGATGTACAACTATGCGTATTGTGCAAATTATATACATATTATAAATAAATTTTAAGCATGGTCCCACTTTTTATTTTCAAAACATTACATACATACTGTATACTTAACAAAACGGGTATCAAATATTAAAAATGTATTTTTTAATTTTTTATCTTAATTATTAAAATGATAATTCTTACACGTTGCTATTTTACATTCGTAAAATTCTTTATTTCAGTTTTCATTATTGAATCTGAAGACAAAAACGAAAATATATTGAAGTTATGTGTACGTACATTCGATATGAAGTAGGAAAGCATTACAATTTAAAGTATGCATGTATGTAATTTCAAATATATTAATAATGTTGGTAAATAAAAATAATTTATATTCTTAACTACAATTATTACTGAGATGTAAACTAAACTTGTACTTCGTCACCACAAAATCAGTGTACAGATATACAAAAACGTCAATAAACACGAACGAATGTTAAAAAATATTGATGCTATTGTTATAGATCTTGATAATTGTTGTTAACTTGCACAAAAGAAAAAATGTAAAAATTTAATTTCCCAATTTTTTTAAGCAGAAACTAAAATAGAAATAAATTAACAAGGTCGATATCCACATACATACATACCTACATATTTTAAATTACATACTCCATTATTGATATATTACATTACTAAAATACTAAAATTTTTATAAATTCATTATTCGATTCGATATTCAATTTTTGATTTCGTAATCAAAATATCAATGCAAAAATTCCCCAAAAAACACAAAGAAAATTTGTTTATTTTTTCTACTCTTAGATTTTTTCTCGATAATTTTGTTTCTTTTTTTTTAACAATTAGTAACAAAACAATAATAATGTATAAACCTAAAAACAACAACAAATAGTTATTTCAAAATACAAGCAAATGATGCAAAGCTTAACACACCACAACCCAAAAAAAAAAAAAATTAACCCATAAATTATAAAAGTATTCAGATATTTCAGACTCACTCGCCTATAAAAGTTAAGAATGACTGATCAGTGATCAGTAACTGCACAATAGTAGTGTTGGCTTAAAAGTATAATATTATTCTTATATAAATACAATGAAAAGCTCAATTTCTTGATAAAATTTTACAAAAAAAAAAAAAAAAAATAAAACAATAATTTTGTATTTACCTCGATATCTCTCTCATTCAAAACGTAACCGAACCGAAGATATTTTCAATACAGGTTATTAGAGAATTTAATTGTTTATTTTTTAAAGTCATTTAAGAAATGTTTTGTATACATACCAGTAATATGTAGAAAATGTAGCTTTACATAGTGATTCTATATACTCAAATGTAATTAATATATTATTTTATAGTATACCCATGTAAAAAAGCTTTTAAAATGTGTTATTGACTTAATTTGCGTGCAACAAATAATACATATAAAAATAACGGTAATAATCTTTAGCATGTTTTGTTGTATATAAATAGATTTGTAATATGTCGTTAAAATATACAATATATTGTCAAAAGATCAGTAATTGTAAAACCATATCTATAGGGGTGAACGACATAAAATGTCAAACATCCATGGAAACAGAGAATGTCAAAAAACAAACCGCTAGTGGTAAAATAGAAATTTAGGCTATTTTACTGTCAGTGCTTGAACGCGCGTCGGTAATTTCGCTTAATTTTCTGTAGTCCCCTTTAAATATGTGTATTTTATATGAATTATGACATTTTGCCGCGAAAACTGCTCTTAACATTTTATATTGCAATAAAAACAAAAGACATATGAAACCAGATGATATATGATTTTTCAGGAATACTTCCGGAACACCACCAAAAGAAATTTTTACTCTGCCTTTTAACTTTACTTTATTTTTTACCATTATGATTTTAGATCCATGAACATATATTAGTTTCAACAACTGCTACCAACGGTAAATTTTTAATAGATTATAGAAATCATTGAAACAAACACAACCTTAATAAAAAAACGATAACTCTAGAACGTATACTTTTTATCTAATTGGCAGCACTAATCATAAATGACAGCTAGCAAAGAACGCGCCTTGGTTTGGAAAATATTTCTTCTATATAAATTTTTTGACATTTTGTCAAAGTGTTTCATATAAAAATATGTTTAGATTTTAATTGCTTGCCGCCAATTAATGTTTATTAAAAAATTTTTAAGTCGTTATTTTTGATAATTTTTATTATAAAGGACAATATATTTAAGTGCGAAAATTGTGTTTAAATTAAGTTAAGGTAAGTTCCTCATATTTACTTTAATTTTTAAAGATTTTCTTTTTTGCTTAATGCATTCTCCATGAAGGTGTACGGAATGCATTATTAGAGTGGAAATATAATTTTATAATATGAACTATATAGATTAGCTTAAGAAAGATCAATGACTTATGAGTTAATATTTTGTAATTTTATATTAATGCCCAAAGGTAAAAAGTTTTTTCCTTAATTGAAATGAAAAAAAGTATGAATATATGTTAAAAGGCGTAGGTACGCCATTAGGTATTCATTTAGATGGAAGATTAATCTAATGTTCCTGCAAATATAAAATATAAAAGTAAATTCAACACAACTGTATTATAGAATTAAAGGTTTTACGCGGCAGACTCAAATTGTTTTACTCATCCCACTATTTTGATATTATGTATCTTTTATAGTACGTATACATACATATGTACATACGAGTGACTCGTACATACATAGTATGCACAATATGTCCATACATATGTATATTATGCAGGTATAATACGTTTCTTGTATTTTAACGTACATACCTACTTTTAAGTTCTCCAGATAATTTTGATTTCAGAAAAATATACAATTCTGAACGAAATTACAATTCTTTCTAAATTAGCCGATCCTAAACAATACATGTACATATCTACATATATAACACCTACCTACATAATTAACTCATTATTAATTGCCTGACCAAGTGCCTCATGTGCATTATTCAAGTAATTCCCAACTTCTCAGTTCTGTATAGAAAACACAAGAAATCTATACAGTATGCAATAGAAAAGATATAAAAATTTTTTATATTTTTTTATTAATAAAATAAAGCTTATAATTACATATATAAAGCACAATGTAACAAATTTTTTTTAAAAATTCAAAATGCAAAAGCTGTAATTCAAAATTTGTTATTTTATATAAGTATGTATGTACATATACGTATGCAATATTTATATACATTTATATGTTACTTATAAATTTTTTTTTCTTTGTTTTTCATCTTAAAATTTAATTTTTGCTGTAAAGTACAAAAATATTTTAAAATTTATATAAGAAAACAAAAAAATAAGTTCATATAGCAAAAGCTGAAATAGGATTATATCTTAAAACTTTAGATAATAATATCCAAAGTCCTGATGTTAAAGTGCATAAAAGAACACCGCCCCATCCTAATTGTAAACTCCAAGAAAAAGCAATTATTCTAGCACTTAAAAGGCGATGTGCATGTCTCATAGCACCTGGTAGTGTAACAATACCATCAACCATGTTGTCATCAAAATCACTTTCAACAATTGGGCGACCATGTTGACGTTTATAATGAATTATTGTTAAAGTAAATAATGCAAATAAAGCTAAATTAATATAGAAAAAAAAAAAATAAATATTCGATAAAAATATTAACATTTCCTCTTTTTTTTTAACAATATTATGTTAATATTTTACCTGCTAACAAATACATTATACCAGTAATTAATATGGCACTAATTTGTTTTTGGCATATACCAAAAGCTCCTACTAAAGCGGCACTGCCAAGTATTATTAGGCACACTAATGAACATGATATTGATAAATTTTGCATTCCTGAAAGCGTACATAATGTCATATAATCAATTCATTCAATGTATACATTCATAAGCAATATTTAGACATACAAACATATAAGTATATGTATATTTTTATTAATTATTGTCTAATGCTGCCAATCAAAACTTTTACAAAATTTAATTGTATAATTTGTTTTTTTTTTTTTTTTTTTTTTTGTAGATAATTAATTTTATTTATAATTTATTCTTATACTTACGCATATGGGGTTGAATAGACGCTTGAGCATCATTATGACTCCAATCACCTCTCATCTCTTCACGTCGACTACGTTCTATGGAAATATTTAAATAACTAGAACATAAACCATGACGATATCTAGCTCTTTCTCTTAGTAATCTTATTTCTTTATGCGTTACATCCATACATAATGTCCATATTCCACCATATAATGGTATCAAAAATATTGGTTTATGATCTAATAAAAATAAAGGACATTTTATATGTTATTAATTTTTATATATGTATGTATATGTATATTAAATTATGACTAATAATAATAATAAAACCAAAAAATTTATACATATTACATACGATGACTGGTTATCTCTAAAATTCTCCCCCTTGGTTGTATCCATCTTATTGTTTGTGTCACATTATTTATAATTTTATTTAATCTTTCTGAATCCCAATTAATATGCTCCCAATGATCGGTCATTATAGCAGCAGAAAGCATTGCAGTAGCTGTTGTCGTTACTATTAATGTTATAAATAATAAAATTAATGGTTGTGAAATACACATAAAAGAACAGCATCCATTTGAATTAACATCTCCAGGATTTGTAAATGTTGTAGCTTGAGTTTGTGCTCGTGCTTGCATCATAAGATTAAAGTACAATTTATAAAGTGTTAACTTAATTTTTAGAATAAAATTTTTAATCTTTCTCATACATGTTATAATTATATTCTTCGAATTTCATTTTAACTTTTTACGACGTTTATGTTTCATTTAGGTGCATAAAAATTAAAATTTCTGCAAAAAAAAAAAATAAAGAAAATGTTATTGTTACAAGTATCAATAAATTTTATTTATAAAAATTTTACTTAAAGGCACTGATGAATGTGCTGTAATAAATTTATTTTTGCATAAACAAATTCTAGAACTTATTATAAACAAAATTACAATAGTATTCCTTACAATTTTGATAAAAACAATGTTAAAGAACGATGGCTCTTCTGTTAGCATATCGTTATAAAATAACATTAAAAATCTCATTCTTAAGAATTTTTTTTTTTTTTTTTGTAAATTATAGTTCACCATAATCTTTGCATGCGATTGTAAATTTAAGGATATGAACCCAAAAAAAAAAAAAATTTTTTTTTTAATTTATGGAAAAACTTATTGTATATAAAACTTGTGTCGTCTTTACGTATTATAAGTCCTTGAAAATTTACAACATTTAGAATATTAAGAATTTCATATACGATTATTATTATGTATTAAGTATATGAGAATATCCTTCAGCAAAAAATTATTACTAATGGCAATATTTCTGAAGTAATAATAAATTCAAATGAAAATTTTTAATATTTAATTACATCAACTATGTTTCTTTTAAGAAAAACTACATCTTTAATAAAGAATTGATTTAATTTGTTTTAATAAAAAATTTTATTTTATAAATTCACCTGAGCGAAATGTTGTACTACTAATTCACTATTGTTAATACTTTTTTAACATTATATCACAATAATTTTAAATACTTAAATTTTATTTTTATTTCTTTTGTATTTTTTCTTAAATTTCAATAAACTATTAAATTTTTTTAAGTGATTAGGTAATTATAAACTTTTTTATATAGCTAAAAATGATAAACTAAATAGTAGAGAACTCTAGCTAAATACATTTATTATTATTTTACAAATATTTTGCGATCATGCGCATATTAATATTAATTTAAAATTTCTTTTCATTTTGCAATATGTAGATAACATGTAAGGATAAAATTTGCAAAATAAACAAGTAACATAACACTTACACAATAGTGGTATATTTATTCGAAAATTACATTTTAAATCACAAAGTAAAAAAAAAATTAATGGTATCAACGTGTAACATTAACTTTTTTTTTATTTATGATTTGTTTTTACTTCTTACATTTTTTTTTCTTTTATTTTATTTTTTTTTGCTTACAGATTGTTACAAAGAAAAAAATTATAATTTATTTTAATAAATTGAAAGCAAATAAATTCTTGAAATATTTAATTTTGTAAATTTTGTACGTCATCGAGATAATTATTTTAATAATCAAAATATTCATTTTGTATTAAATGAAACTCGAGCATTTTTAGTAATTGACATAATTTTAAAGTCCGCATACATTAAAAATGCTCTTGATTAATAATGGATTGTTAAAAAGCACATTTTCTTTCGTTTATTTGATTAAATAACTTGTATTTGTGCGAGCTCTATAATCAAATGTAAAATTTCTGTGTTCAATTGAAATAATTCTTATAATACATATTGTTTTTGCTTTGAAGGAACATAAAGGCAATCATTTTGAAAAATAATAATAATGGAATAAAAAATTAATTAATTTGTTAGTGTTTGAGTTAAGGTATAACGGTATATTTTAGATAAGAAGACGATTAATGTTAAATTTTTGATTTAAAAAAAAAACTGAATGAAAATTATAGTATCGAAAAAATTGGGAATCGAAAAACGATAGATTGAAGGGTAATAATTTCGAAGGAAAGGAAGATGAAAAGAAATTTTATTCTAGTAAAATCAAACAATAGATTCTTATTTAAAAAAAAAATTAATTTTAGATAACGGTTAATTTGAAGATTTATTTCAACAATCTGACTTTTGCTTATAATATTTTTATATGAGGAAGATGTAAGTTCTTACCCTTCCTTAAAAATTGTCTTTTGTTTTATGGACACAGCAATTTTTTTGAGAGGGAGAGCAAATTTTTATGAAGTTTATTTCGGATAAATACAATTTTTTCATTAAGATCATTCGAAATTTAAAAATTTCAATTTTCTACCTGGAAAAAGATATACAAATTTTATAAACGGGCAAACACGCCGAGTAAGTAAGTTAGTTTTTTACATTATACAATCACTAAACTTACCTTATTACTAAACATATTCCTTAGCGGTGACTGAATTTTGTATATTTCTTGTCAAAATCAAATTACATTATAAAAAAAAATCTTTTCAATCGAAGATTATGTTACAAGAATATTTAAAATTCTACCATCAGACTGTAGCTGAACAGTAACAGAACTCAAAACACCTTAAATATAAAAAAATACTCACTTTTTTTATTACAAATTAACATATATGCAGTAATCAAGATTTGAAATGAAATGACTTCAATGTTTAAATCAATGGCACACAATACTATAAACTTTCGTTATAATAAAAAAAAATTCTTATTTAAAAAATATATAATTTTATAAATTTTCTAGTTATGGCTGATTCAGAGAACCAAAATGGAACGGAAGTAGAAAAGCAAACAAACGAGCATATAGAAAAAATTCATCTTAATGAAAAAATAAAGAAATCAGATGAAGTAGAAAGTAAACGCATTGAAAAAAGTGAAGAAATAGAAAATAATATTGATGATAAAGATAAAAAACATGATGAAAGTGAGAATAAAACAGAACAAATAAGTAAAAGTAAAGAGAAAATAAAAGAGCAAAATATTGAAAATAGTGATAACATAGAAAAAAAAGTCAATCAAGTAGAAAATAAAATAGAAGATAAAATTCAAAAGAAAATTGATGAAGTTAATGAAAATGGTAATGAAAAAATCGAAGAAGAAATCAGAAAAGTAGAAAAAGAAGGTGAAAGCGCTGAAAATACGAAACCAAATGTAGGGGAAAAAGTTCGCAGTGAAGGAAACAATGAAAGCAAGATCAGTAATGTTAATGAAAGTGAAAACAAAAAAGAGAATCAAGAAACTAATGATGGGCACATAGAAAAAATGGAAGTAGGTGAAACTGATAACAAAAAAAGTGCTGAAACGCCGAATATAGAAGAAGGAACTGAAAATAATTTAGAGAAAATCTTAGAAGAAGGTACAGAAGACTATAAATTAGATCTTTGTCAGGATCTTTACAGTCAAGGTAGTAGGAATTTTTTGCTAAAAAATTTTGAAGAAGCTGCTGATCAATTAGGAGAAGCATGTGAGCTGTTTGAAGAGATTTATGGACCAGAAAATGAAGCATTGGGAATGCCTTTGTTACTGTAAATATTTTAAAAATTAGTTATGTAATTAAATTTATCTAGAAATTTCTTCTTAGTTACGCTAAAAGTCTTATATCACTTTCACTTGACGAAAATAAGGTGTTGGATGTACCAAATGTTGAAGAAGAGGAAGAGGATTCTGAGGATCAACCGGAAGAGGAGAGCAAAGAAGAACAGTCTGGAAAGACAGAAGAACAGAAATCAGAAAGTAATGTTCCAAAGCTTAATGGCGACGGTGAAGCAAAAGAAGATAAAATTTCAAAAGAAGATAAAATTTCAAAAGAAGAAAAACTACAGGAAGAGCCTAGCACGTCAAGCAAGCCTAACATTTCTCCGAGTATTGCTCAGTTGAAAACTTCAGCAACTAATGAACAAGAAGAAAATGAGAACAATGAAGAAGATGAAGGAAGTGAGCCGGTACGTTACTTACTCTTAGACATATTTTATATACTTACAATAAAAAGCCTAATTTTTGCCATTTATCTGATAAATTATTTGTATTCAATGTAGACAAATTTACAAATAGCTTGGGAAACCTTAGAAATGGCTGCAAATATTTTTTCAAAGCAAGGAATGAAAGGTTTACCTCATTTAGCAGAAATACATACCGAACTTGGTAATATTCAATTTGAAAATGAAATCTTTGATGCTGCAAGGGAAGACTATGGTATTAAATGAATTTATTCAAGGATAAAAGTTCAATTTAAAATAATAAGGAATAATTATCATTTCCAGGAAAAGCATTAAGAATTTATCAAGAATTATCGTTTAAAGATCAACGCAGAGCTCAAGCAGAAATTCATTATAAAATAGGATTAACTTTCTTGTTAGAAGCTTTAAACCAAGAAGGGGCTGAAGCATTTAAAACTGCCTGTGATTTATTAAGTGATGAAATTGAAGAAATCAAAAGTAAAAATGAGCTTACAGATAATGATAAAAATACAATTAAAGACATAGAAGAAACCCAACAAGATATTATGGCAAAAATAGTCGAAATTGAAGAAACCAGACAACAAGTTATTTAAACATTTAAAAATTTGAATATTTCCTAAAATATTTATAAATGTTTTAATTTTCAGGTAATTGATGAAGTTCGAGCTGCTCTCGACAAATACAAATCACCTTCAAAACAAAATACTGGAAAAATAGAAGGAAGTTCAAGTTCTATAGAATCTTCTGCATCTTCATCCAAACCGAATGATATTTCGCATTTAATTAAACGTAAAAGACCAGATACGATATCTGTTGAAACTGAAGATTCGCCTGCAAAACGTTTAAATACTGAAAAGACTGGATAAAGTCAACTAATGATATTAATTTAAGAAAAAAAAAGATCATCATTTCATTATATTTCACACTTAATATTGTAAAATAATAAAATTTAAGTTTATATTTTCAAATTGCAAAATTTTATTCTGAATCCATTTCGTATATTTCCCTCCACTTCTACTAATCAAATTAATGAACGCTCAATATTCAAATTTGAATATTTCTTGAAAATAATTTTAAATACACATTTGAATTTCTTACAATATTTTATGTATTCTGTACGTGGTTTTACATATGCAGAATCGGTTTAATTAACTATAAAGTTAAAAAAATTTTACTAAGAAATAATGTAAAAAAAAGATGGGTACATACATAAAATTCCTTTCCCATTTCTAATAGCGCAAGACAAAACTTACTGATTAACATTAAAAAATGTGGAGAAACACTGAAAATTTAAAATTTCTTTAAAACATAAATTTGTCGATGTTCACATTTAATTCACATAATAATTAAAAACTTAACATTTTTGTTAAAATTGAACTCCAACTTTACTCGATTTATACACATGTCTTTCTGCTATAATAAATATTTTACTTAATATAAAATTGATATCAAAAAATAAATATGTAAATTTAAAATTTATAATAATTTATTTACAATTTCATTTCCGAGTTGTGTATGTATGAGTTCCTTTCCAAAAATAAATTATTTTAAAATATTTAATTACTAAAATACAGATACATTTTTTTCCTATTTTAAATATTATTACTGCAAATTAATTTGAAGCTTCTTTGCCACATACAATTTTATGATATAAAATAAATTAAAGATAAGTTTAAGATTCCTTTTTATCTTTAAACATATATTCTTTCGCCATTGAATACGCTAATCCTAATGTTAAACAACCAACTACAGTACCTTGAGCAGCTACACGTAATTGCATTAAAAATACACTTGTGCTCATGTTTCCTCGTGTACGATACTTGTACGCTCCAATAAGTCCAGCAGCAATAAAACCTCCAATTCCTAAAATAAAAAAAAAAACATTATAAAATACATAGATCTTCAAAAAAAAATTTCAAAGTTCGGTTTAAACTCTTTAAGAATATTTATGATGAATATTGAATACTTAGTTTATGAGATATAAAAATATAGTTTACGATGATCAAAGAAGTGTTTCAATAATTCAGGTCTAACTTAGGTCTTAATATAAAGCATATTCCATACATTAAAACATTGCAATATCTACAAAAAAAAGAATGTTCGAAAATGACAGTTGTATGCTTAAAGTTCTAAAGGAATTTCAAAAGATAGTTAAGCCGTGTTAAAATTACGTTTCCTCAATCTCAAATTTTATCATTTCGAATTCAATTATTAAGATATACATATCTAAATAATCTCGAAGTTGAAAACTAAATTATTTATCATCTGCCAATAGTATCTTATCTTGGCTATTTAATACGAAAATTTAAAAGAAAAATCAAGTTTAAAAAGGACACAAATAAAGGCACGGAAACAATTTTGCTCTATCTTTCTTTAATAATTATTTAAATATGTACATAATTTTAATTGCAACAAATTTGCCATTAAAAATTTCTTGATAATTTTCTTTAAAGTGATAAGCATGCAAATACGTTACTTAAAGAAAAAAAAAAGTTCATAACTCATTGAACAACTATTGAAATTTATAACCGGTGTTAAAGGTAAATATGAACATTTATACATTCATATTTCTGATGAAATCTCGGAAAAATTATATTTATAGAATAAATTAAAAATTATACAGACATAAATATGTACATACGTACTATACGTACGTACTTGGTTTCCAATTGAATTGTGTGTTATCTTCACTGTAAAATTAATTTTAAAATCACAGTCCCTTCCTAATGTCTTAGCATTTTATTTTTCGGAACCTTTAATGCTTTCATATGTACAACCTATATAAGAATGAGTATATATGTACGTACTTATACTGTTAAGTATACATATACATGTTAGAACTGATTATACAATACATAAAGCCGTATATGATTCATAATATTAAACTAGTCACCGGTACTTTTATCTTCTTGCTTATTCAAACAACTACATTTCCATACCCTAAGAAATATATATGTACATATGTAGGTATGTATGTTAACATGTCGTTTTTTTAGGTAAATGAAAAAAAACATGTGCTATGCATGCAGCTTGGAGCATTTAATAATTTTAAAATTAAAATACTAATATTATTTACATACATGCATATTTTTTACCTACATGAAATTAAGAAAATCGTTCGATATTAAAATTACCAAAAATTTATGATTTACTGTAAACAAAATTTATTTTTAGAAAGAAAAAATTATTAAAACAACAGTAATATTTGAATTTCAAAGTTTTTTTTGTTATTTTTTAATTTTTCTTTCTTAAGTTTTTAATATTTCTGGTAATTATAAATAAGCAACACCGTTATTATATCACGTAGCAACTTTTCCAACTATGACGTTGCATTGATATCAATAGTCAGTAGACAGTAATCGGTATTGTATTGGAAAATAATGTCAATTATTCACGTTAATCTTTCTATTTGTAGAAGTAAAAAATTTATATACAAACATGCATGTAATTATACATACTACATATTAGAAATTAGAAGGATTACTGTGTATGTACATACATAAATATATATACATATATATGTATGCACATATACTATTAACCTTGAAAAATTTTGTTTGAATTCAATGTTGAATCCAATATTTTTTTGAAACTAATTTTCTACATGAAATTTTAAAATTGTTTTTTAAAGACTTTAAATAAACAAAAGTAGTTATCAATTTTTAAAATTATGTATTAAACTTTTAAATATAATTTACCCATTAACATAAACGGAGATTCTTTTGCTTTTGTAGCTAATTTTGAAGTACTCTCTTCCTTGGTCTCAAAATATGATGCTGACTTCATCCTTTTATCAAATTTTTATTAATTTATAAATTTAATATACAATATTGAACTTTGTTTAACAGTAGGAATTGAATTAAAATCGTTACACAATACTGATACAATAGGAATTTACTTTTAAAAATCACACAACATTCATGCTAACACCTACTTTCTTTTCAATAAACTAATTTCAACTGAACTGAAGAAAATGATGAAATTGTATGTAGTGTTTTTAAAGACAGAAACATATTGACAGAAACAGTGATGTCAAATCGGGATTTAACAATAACAAGATCTGTTGAATATTTAAGACTTGTAAAAATGTGACTTCATTGTGAAGATATCTTATAAATTTTCCTATTTTATCTGGCTTGTTGTCTTAATTTTACTTTTTAATGCGAAAACAGAATCAAAGTGGTGAGGAGCAACGGCGGACGATGATGTAATACGAATTTAATTTTTTTTCAACATCGGCGATTAAATTCGCGGCGTAAATTCGCTTGATTTTGGCCAGTCTCATTTAAGTATGTGTATTCCATATGTATTCTGACATTTCGTCGCGAAAAATCGCTCTTGTTTTGTTTTCAACTTTTATTGAACAAATTTGACGTAATTCCTGAACAAATGCAAAAATTTCTCCTTTCGTTTTCAAAAAAACTCCGAGTTATGGAATTAATAGAGAAAGTAATTTAAAAAAAAATATCATAGAAAGACATCAAGTTCCAAATAATAAACAAGTAATATTTTAAAGAAAACATTAAATTTTAGTATCAAATAAACAAACTAATTTAAAACATTTAAACTAACTTAAAAAGCAAGTTAAATTCTATAATTTTCAAAACTTAAAAAAATTTTTAAGAATGTCATCCTGGTCTCGGTGAATGGTGATATATTTTTGAAATATCAAAATCCTGCTTAAAGGGTAAAGACGTGTCAAATATCAACAGTCAATATAAATTCTGTCGATCTTACGTCAACTGTCATATTAAAAAATTAGATTTTTTAATTTTCTTCGAAGTTTGTTTTGTTTTTGTTAAACAAGTCAAGACGGACTTGTTTCGCTATTCGCTAATCTAGAGCCTTTTCCTATTAATTTTTTAAAAAAGAAAGAGAAATATATTTTATTCGGTATTATGGACGTTTTTAATAAATTTTATTCTTCAGTAAGTACAACAGTTTCTCAATTATCAAGTGTTTTGCCAGGTATACATTTGAGTGGTCATGAAATACAAGAACAGGTCGGAACTGCTGGAATTGGTGAGATTATAATAAAGGAAAATTTTTAAAAAAATTACGACTTTATGTACGTTGTAGGCTCTTTCTGGAAGATACACAATGGTATCAAAAAGACAACAAAAGAAAATGTTTCGATATTTGTTTTTGAAAAAAAGACTCTAGAAAGATTTAATAAGGAGGAACGAGAACATCTGTTAGGCATTTTACGAAAGAGGTGAAGGCCATTTATCACCTGATAGTTTCCATTTTAAAAAATTTTCTGATTTCAGCATTCAACAATTAACAAAAATAAGACATCCTCAAATTTTAGAGGTTCGTCATCCATTAGAAGAAAACAGGGATTGTCTAGCATTTGCTACCGAACCTATATTTAAGTGCTTAAGCGACAGTATATCCTCTACTAACGTGGAAGATAAGTTGTCAGATCTCGAAATAAAATACGGCCTTTTACAACTTATAGAAGGTTTGAATTTTTTACATTCCGAAATGAAAATTGTACACTGCAATTTAACTCCAAATAATGTGATTATAAACCAAAATGGAAAATGGAAGTTGTTCGGTTTTGACTTTTTTATAACTGGACAAATGAAGGATGGAAGTTATGAATGGATTTATGAAGGTTTTAACGCTAACTTAAATATTGTACTTCAGCCACCTTTAGAGCATTTGGCACCGGAAACTGGGTTAAACTATTCCATAACAACAGATAGTGACTTATACTCATTCGGTAAGAAATTAAACCAATTAAAAACAACTTTCAACCGAAAATAACAATTTTCAATTTATACTTTAAGGGGTCCTAATATATTGTATATATAACAAAGGGAAACCAATGAAAAATTTTTTTGGAAAGTATGATAGTTTCAAAAACTTTTGTAAAGAAATCAACCTAGGTAGATTTCCAAGTTTTGATTGCATTCCTTTAGAGCTTAGGGATTCATTAAAATCTCTAATGCATTCAAGTCCTCTTCATAGAACAAAATTACACGAATTTAGAAATGTAAGTTATTTATTAACGATTGCAATTGTTTTTCACAGTTTTTTTTTGCAGGTATCGTTTTTCAATGATATGGAAGTGAAAAGTTTAACCCATCTAGATTCTCTCTATCGACTTGATAATTTAGAAAAATCTAAATTTTTAAAAGGTGTGGGTGATGTTATCCGAGCATTTCCGTTACGAGTAAATTTACAGATAATTCTTCCAAATTTAGTCAAAGAGTACATCAATCCTCAAATGATACCATTTGTGTTGCAAAATGTTTTTATAATAGCAAAACAATGTGAATCAGAGCAATATAGGAAACATATTTTTCCACACCTCATTCCAGTAATGAAAATACATGAACCAATTCAAATTTTTTATGTCATACTGCAGAATATGGATTTGATTCTAAGTGCATCATCCAAAGAAAATATTAAATATCATGTTTTACCAATGCTTTACAAAGCTTTGGACAGTAATAATTCCAATCTTCAGGAGATGTGTATGAAAGTTTTGCCCGAAATTTCGTCTTTAATAGATTCTTCAGCTATGAAAAATATATTGTTGCCAAAAATTCAATCTCTTTGTCTGAATAGTGGAAGTTTATCAGTTAAGGTAAATGGTTTAATTTGCATAGGTCATCTTCTGGATAATTTAGATAAATGGTTAGTATCAGACATAATTCTGCCATTTTTGGTAAAAATTCCTAATCGCGAGCCAGCTATTATAATGGCTGTAATAGGTAAAATTTCCTAGGTGTAAAATTGAAACATAATTAAAATTTATTTTATCATACTTTTTAGGTATTTTCAAACTAATCATGGCTAATAAAAAATTGGGATTATCTAAGTCAGAAATTGCCACTAAAGTAATCCCCTATTTAATGCCATTGAGTATAGAAAATAGTTTAACAATGAATGAGTTCAATTCTATAATAAATTTAGTGAAAGGTTTGTAGGAAAATTATTTGTAAATTTTTATGTGATGATATAATTTACATTTCTGTGTATATTAGATTTGGTTAATCGCGTTGAGACAGAGCACCGAAGTAAAATTGAACAATCTGTGAATAATTCAACATTACCAACTACGTAAGTTGATGTTTGTAATAATGCACTTGTATATTTCATATATTCTTAATATTTTTATTTATGTATGTCCATTATATGTTTCAGTATTCCTGACCCCGTCCATGAGTTAGACCTTAGCAATTCCAGTAATAACTTCTCTATTGACAAGTAAATCTTGACAAATACTTGGTATTATAATTTTTTCAACCATTTTTGTATTTTTATAGGGTTCCTGAACGGCAGGAGATAAAAATTCAAAATATTGAAAGTAATTTAAATTCTGAAATCGAAAAACAGTAAGTTTAAAAATTTATTAATGCAATTTCAAATAAAACAGAATTTTTAAAGCTTTCAGATTTCTTCGAAGCTCGCAATTAATAATGTCAATCCAACAATTCAACCAAGTCCTAACTATTCCACTATAAGCAAGGAGTCTTTTTCTAATTCACAAATAATACATAATCCATTTAACCAGACGTCTTCGCATGGCAATAATAACAAGCCGCTTACAATAGAAAGTAATATGAACAACGTCAAAATTGCACCAACGAATAACAGCAAAGGAAGTTGTTTTCAAGATCTTGATCCATTTGCATCAACCACGCATAAAGTCCCAATGAATCAAATTCCAATTAGCAATTCGAGTTTCAATAACTTTGAAATTTTAAGACCAAATTCAAATAATTTAAATTTTCAAAATAATAACTCTAGCTCCAACATAAATCAACTAAGTCAGCAAGATATACTTGACTTTTTAAAATAAATTAAATTGTTAATAATATAAAATATAAAAAAAAAATTAGTGTCTAACAGTATTTATAAACTAAAAACCTATAATAATTTAACAAAAATCTACAATTAAATATAAATAATATTTAGTGAATAAGACCATGTGTGCGTAAATATTTATGTAAATGAAGTCAAAATACAAGTTTTTAAATAGTGAAAAATAATTTTATTTTGTGTGTACTTATTTCTTATTTTTTGATCTTTTCTTGTGCGTCTTTTCTGAGTTAGATGTAAAAGATGGGGAACTAGAGTTTTTTGATCTGCTCGCGGTTGAAGACACATCTTTAGAAGATTTTCCCTTTGAACTTTTGCTATGAGTTGGAGATGAATCTTGGGTACGATGATACGGTGAGGAAGAAGCAGAAGATGATGGTGTTGAAATTGGAAAATTTGTTTCAACTGGAACAATTTTGTTACATGAACTACAACACCAGTCTTCATCGTTCGCATCTGCGTCAGTGATATTTGGTTTGTGACATTCCTGATGGTACCTGAACATACATACATAAAATAAGGCTGAATTATGTGCAAAAATAACTTACAATTTTTGACAAGTGTTACATTCAACTAAGCGATTCCCCGCAGTTAAAACCATTGCACCACAAAGCACGCAAACTAAATCTCCGAATTCCTAATTAAGAAACAACAAATTAAACTTTTATATCTATATGATAAGAATATTTATATACTGTAAGATTTTCCTCTTCAGAATGTATGCTAATAGTTTCTTCAGGAATACCTGGCGAATCAACTTTTTCTGTTTGTTTAATGGTCCTAGGGAATGTTGTTTCTTCGGCTAAAAAAGTTTTTTTGCTGTTACATACTTATTTATAAATTCCATGATTAATATACTAAGGAATTTCTTATTCAATGTGTTAATCAATGTCTTTGAATATCCAAACCGTTGCTTAATTATTTCGTCCAAAGTAATTCTAAGCTTTTCGGCAGAATCCGGGGCATTTGAATGCAGTAATTTAAGAGACATCTTAATAATAGGGTCTACCTCAGCCATATTAATTTTTACTGGTTAATTTTCTATATAACTTTTAATGTTGAATTATCAATTGAAACCCCTAGAAAAAAATTTAATCCACAGTATTTACTTATTTAGACGCAATACGAAAGTTAAAAAATCAGATTTTTTAATTAAATTTTCTTTACTACATAAAAATGAAATAACATTACATGTGTTTACACGACGACTTTTGAATCACGGATTGACGTATATATGTTTAATTTCGTTTGCCGAAAAGCGTGTAAACAGCCATATTTATAATAATTTTAATATTTTTAAGCCAGTAACAGTCGTGTTACTAGTGGTCGTTTACATATTATAGGACAAAAATAAGATATAATATGATCCTAATGAAAGTCATAAATGCAAGAAACCAGTGCTTAGCTCAGAATTTTTCTGACAGTAAATAATATACTATATTTCAATTTCATCAGATTTACTGTCAGATTTTTTAAAAAGAAAATATATTACACAATAAGTTTTTTTAAGGTTTTGAACAACGATCACCTGGTTTTTATTTTGTTTAAAATTCCAGCAGCTTGATAGAATTTGAACCAAAGCGCTTATAATTTCATCCTAATATCTAAACAGTCATAAGACTTTATCACAGATTTAATCTTAGATTTTGTTGTATATGTAAACAAATCCCAAAATTACAAAAAAAATACTTTTTCTAGGCTTACAAAAAAATGTATTGAAATGAAAAAAGCGCATTTCGGCATTATATTTTGTATACCTGGTCTACTTATATAATTCTTGAAGAAAAAACCCAATCTAGAGACAAATGTTTTACTTTTTAATAAGATAACTTAATTTGAAGTAAATCATTCTGTCTCTTGAAGGCTAAAAAATTTTATAATTAATTTCCGTTTTCATGGATTAACACTAGGGGATCATCAAGTCAATAAAATGTTAACTGGTACAAATAGAAAAATTTACCTTTTAGTACAATCCTCAAATTTATTAAAAGAGACTCAGTTTGGCAATACTAGCATAAACAATGTTTTCTAAAGTTATGCACATATGCTAAGATTTTATATAAAAGTATTCGTTTGATCTCCCAAATAGAAATAATATAAACAAAGTTTTTAAGATTAACAAGAAAATATTTTTAATTGGCAAAATATTTTCAACAAAGAAATGATTGAGTGATTTAAGTACAAAAAAAAAGAAAAAGATTATTAACTACAAATTGAGGTTGAAAAAATTAAAAAAATGAATAAAATTATTTTATTTATTTACCTTACTTCGTTTATATGTAAGTAATATTTTCAAGTTTATGTATGAAAAAATTAAGTGTTTTATTAATTAATCAGTCAAATAATTTGTATCATACCAATTAGGATTTCATTGTTTTCATTTGAAATATTACTTGCTTATTATGAATATAATCAGATATACTTATGCATATGCATGGTAGAATCGAATATGAATGGCTGCCAAAATTAGTGTGTATAACAAAGCCGGTTTAGAAGCGTTTCCAAAAAATAAAAAAAAAATCTCAAAAATGTTGATTCTCTTAAAATTTTGTTTCAATTTACAGGTTTATCTTATCAAAATCCGACTATATCTGATATATCACCAGAACAAATTCATGAAATTGGAGAAAACGCAACTTTGAATTGTACTGTAGAAAATGTTGACAACTATGCTGTAACATGGGCTAAAGTACAAGAATCTGGTTCTGTTGTCTTATCATTGAGAGAAAGCTTGGCACTACCTGATAAAAGATATTCGATTAAAGTAATAAATGCAGATGATAGTAAGATATATTCATTTGGAATAAATGCACTTGAAGCTAGTGATAGTGGTGCATATGAATGTGAAATTATTATATCGACAACTTCACAAAAAATGAAAAGAAGTGTTAAATTATTAATAAAGCACCCACCGTATATACCAGATAATTTGATTCAAAATCCGTATACAATAACTGAAGGCTCCAAAGGAGAAATAACATGTCAGGCTGAAGGATTTCCAAAACCGTCCATAACTTGGAGAAGAGAGAATGATGCAATTATGCCTGGTGGTGGAAATCATTTTGAGTGAGTAAACATATAATTTTTAATAAAATTTTTCTAATTGAAATAAACTAATTGCGTAATTTTTGCTTTAAGAGGAAACACGTTAAAATTTAATTCAGCGCACCGATATGATCGTGGTACATATTTCTGCATTGCAGATAACGAAATAGGTACACCCTCCAAAAAGCCAATTCAAATTGAGGTAGAATTTAAGCCAGTAATTACAACTCCAGTGCCAAAAGTTGGTCAGGCAAAGAACTATGCCATAGAACTAGAATGTGATGTTGAAGGTTTTCCTGCTCCAGCAGTATCATGGTACAGGAATGATAAACAATTGCAAAGTACAGGAAATTTCTGGTATATTTCCATTTTTTGTAATTTAATTGTATACCATAAGAAAATATTATTTTGTTTATATTAATAATTAATAAATTAGTTATAAATATCTATTATATGTAATAAAATCCTATTATTCAGAGTATTTAATATTTAATTTAAAAAACTTTTGATAGGATTACAAATAATGCCGCAAAGCACGATATAACCAATTCCGTTCTACGCATTTCTTCTGTTGGAGAACCGGATTATGGGGATTATATTTGTAAAGCTGAAAATAAACTTGGAAACTCAGAAGCTCGCGTCACTTTATTTGGTATTTATTAAAAAAATAAATTATTATTGGTTTTTGATTTGTTTAATTTTTGAGTTTTTTCTTTATTGTAGAACCAGTAATACCTGTTCATAAAATTTAATTGAATTTTAAAGGTATATCATGTTAGTTTAATTCTTAGAATTTATTTTGGTAAATTTTATTTTATAAACATTATATTCATTCTCACTTCGTAACTTCCTGCAAGTTTTTAAATTGGTTTGATTATTTTTTTTATTAAAAATATAAAATTAAATTTTTTCTAGAGGTCCCCTAATCAATTTTTTAAAATTAATTGTAAATTTTTTTTTTCCGTTTTAAGGACCAAGGATACCAAATATTCATTTTCATGCATTAATTTCATCTGGATCAACCAGTTGCAGCATTTATAATTATAAAATATTTTTAATTACCATGACAATTCTGTGTTTATACAAGATTATGTAATATGAGATTTAATAGCATAACTTTTTTTAATTTTAATATTAATTTTATGATTAAAGAGTGAAATTAATTGATTATAATTTACTTAACTGGATGCTTTGTGATTATAAAGATTGTAATTGAAATTGAAGTTTGTAATAAATTTTTTGGAAAAGAAATACATATATGTATATTTTCAATCTATTCGCTATTTTAAGTTTGTAAAATTCCAATCAAAGATAAAATCAACAATTTACACGATATGTGCATGTAAATTCTTCAATTCCTTAATTAATTTCATTGATACTTCAATAATCACTTTATCATATTGAATAAAGTAGTCTCTCATTTATTTTTTAGAGGATTTTAATACCGTTTATATTACAAAAAAGAAATCGCACCGTCTTGCATATTCATATAATATAATATACAGATATAGAGCTACTAAATAACAGATTTTTGTAAATTACGTAAAATAAAAATGAGCAGATCCAAAAATTGACAATCATTTGTTTGGCAGAAGTCATTGAATTTGGAGATTATATGAAATTAAATATAAAACGAAAATTAAACAAAATTTTTTACTTTCTTGATTTTTAGAATACAACATGTATATTTTTACATTTAACTTTTTTTTTTAAAATAAAATTTAAAAATTTTGCATTTTTAGGGAATACAAAATTGTACTTATTTTTATATTTTAAACTTAAAATATTACTAACACGTTTCTTTTTATAATATATTTTATCTTCTTATGGAATATTTTAAAAAATAAACAAGCAATTCTAAATTAAAACAAAAAAGTATAACTTTTTTATTTTTTTTTTTTTGTTAATTTATAAACTCTATATTATGTATCTTTAGTTTTTTTTTTTGTTATTTTTTCTTTTTGTATAATGGTATATTAATGTTTATCATAATTATTAATAAAATAAAATTTCATTTTTTTACATGATAAGTTTTAGTACATAAACAAAATTTTTCAATTTCTAACGAAAAAATAAAAACAATAATTTTGTTGGGATGAATTAGATTTTGTCTAATAATTTATTATAATTTAGGATTAGAATTAATTAAATCTTTTCATACTTTTATTATGAAAATCTCAGAATATTGTGTGTAACGAACTCCAATAACCAATTAATTAAAAAAAATAAGTATTTTAATAAATTATATTCGGATCTATTATGATTTTAGTAAAATAAAATCAACAACTGTGAATGTTTTTTTTTTAATTTAAAGCAAAACGTTTTGTTTTATTAAAAGAATTGGAATAAGTTAATTAAAATAATAAACCGAAAAATTTTCTGGAAATATGTGTTTCAGGAAGAATGTACATAATATATGCACTTATGAATGTACATATGTAGGGACAACTAAAGAAAAAAATAAATATTATTTTTTTCGTGAAAAAAAAACTGCCAAAAATTGAGATAAGTTTTTCATTAGAAATAAGTGTAATGAAAGCTTAGAAGTTTATTAGTTACTAAATGAAAGAAATTTCATTAAAGAGACAAAGGCATATTATTATGTATGCTTGTGAGTATATAGCTGTCTGAATAAATAAAATATAAAATAAATATTTCATTTATTTTGAAAAAAATTGCATAAAAATTAAAAAATTTGAACGAAGAAACCACTCTTTTTTTTGTACGTAAAATACAATGTTTAATAAATGCACATAAATTTTTGAATTTATGCATAATTAAATCAAAATAATTTATTTTAATTAATAAATTATTAAAATAATTATTAAGATAATGTGAATGATAAAAACAATTATGCGACAGGTCTCGTTATATTTTATATTTTGGAGGAAAAATTTCAATTTTTTTTTTGTTAGTTTAATGAAACTGAAATCAAAGTAGAATACAATAGTTGAACTCAACCAATATTTATAAATTATTTAATTAAAACTTAAACATTAATAAAATAAATAAATTATTAATTACACAAACTTCTCATATTATATTTATTTATTTATTTTTTTTTTTTTATCGATTTATATATGTATGTATGTATTTTAATTTTAATACTTTACTTTTTTTTTGTTTTCTTTTTTCTTTTTTCTTTTTTACTTTCATATACGTTTTAATCAAATTTTTAATTGCTAAATTTGTTATAGATTTTTTATTTGCGCTATGCTAACTTATTAATATATTTTATATATATATATATATATATATATATATATGTATATATATATATAGTTTTTTTTTAAATAAAAATTTAATGAACTTTTTCATATTATTTATTATTTTTTATAAACGGAACATATAAAAACCGTATAGTAGAAGTTATGATGTATGTAGTTAAATTTAATAATATATTTTCTTTAAGACTTAAAAAATCACAAAACAACTATATAACATATCAAATTTAATTAAATTAAATTATTAAAAATTTTAATAATCTACAAAAATTAAAGCTTTTTTTTTTTATTCTTTCATTCTGTTAAATATATTTTATGTAATATATAATTTAATATTTTTCTTTAATTGTATTTCTTTAATGAGCTTATTTTGTTAAATTGGGGAATAACACTTTTTATATATAACACATTATATTGTTCATTTTCGGCAACAGTGAAATAACTCAAAATACGATTTTTGATTTATTTATACAAAAATAATCATTTAAAAAATTTGTGCAAAAATTCGAATTCTCTAGCTTTTAAAAAATAAATTATAAAATAATGCTAGAATCAGATAAGAATAAGATATTATTAACTCAAAAATTTTAAAATTAGATTTTCTCAAATGTGTAAATTTTGAGTTAATCTCAATATTGTAGAAAACGAGTGATATATAATGGATAAAACAAAAATAAATTTTAATAAAATAAAATGATTAAATATTTTACAATTAATGAGGAAACAATTTATTATTTAAATAATTATTACGCATTTTTCATATACATTATATAACAAAATATAATATACATTTATATTTAATTTATGAATAATATTAATGGAAAATAAATTTATATATATATATATATATATATATATATATATATATATATATATATATATATATATGTATGTATGTAAATATTATTTTTTTTTATGATATTTTCCCATAAGTAACAACATTTTCATATAAATTAAAATTAATTATTAATAATCTTAATTAATATAAAATAAATAATGAAGAATGGAGACAACGATAGATTTGTTTTTCTTGATTCCTGCTCTTGAAGAAAAATTTAATTGTTTTAAATTTTTTTATTTCGGATCTAAATTCGATTAAGTAAAATTATAAAATAATATGTATACAAAAAATATACCTTGGCTCATTTAGAGCCAAGAAGAAATCATAAGAAATTAAAAGTCGAACAGACTCAAAACTTCTACCCCTAAAATTAAATTTAGTTCAACATCAAGGTCGCAATCTACTAATATATTATTGATATGATAATTACGGATCATTATATTTTGTATATATTTTTTACAATGAAACTTTCTATTTATACAATACACATATATTATATAATTATATATAATTAAAGCAAATAATTTAATATTAATATTTTATATTTAATAAATTTTAAAATTATTTATTTAATTAAAGTTTTTATAAACTTTAAACCTACCTAAAAAATCCAACTGTAACCCGCTTGCCGGATATGCGACGCGACTCATTTGAAAATTTTTTGTGACATTTCGCATTTATGAAGTACGTGTTTAATATAATGCGGCTCTGGAACACTCATTTAAAATACAAATCATTTTATCTATTGTGAAAAAATGAAGAGCAGTCAAGTAATTTTTTAATTTAACGATATTGTTTTTTTTTTGCATATAAATTATTTATAAAATTTATAATTAAATTTTTTTTAATTAAAATGTTTTTTTTTTTTTTGTTTCTTTTTGTAAAATGGAAGCGAAAATAGCATTTTTGTATTGTTGTTACTGTTGGGAAAAAGAATATCACAAAATTCAATTCCTAATTTTTAAAAATATTCAAAATTAAAATTACATTTGAGTGTTATTAAAGAAAATTAACAATAGTTTCGAGAAGCCTAATTTTGTTATTTTAATTATCTTTATTGAAATTAAACGTTGGTGGACTGTACATTTCTATATTTGCTCGAATTCTTTTTTATCTTTGATTTTGTTTTTTTTTTGTTGTATTTTAATTTTAATTTTTGGGATATACGATTTTTCTCTTAATTAATTAACATTCATAATTCTTTAATTACAAATCCTTAAAATTATGGGGCTTTTGCTCATTGTTGTTTCTTTTTTTTTTTGTATTTTTAAGAAGGGGACTTTTTTTTTTACTTGTATACATATACATAACAAATATATATATGCATATATGTACATATACATATAATTTATATTCATATATATACATATATTTATTTATTTATGAATAATATGCATGAGTTCAATTTTAATTTCTTTTTATTTGAAAATCGCACTAAAAAGTAAAAAGTCTATACAAACATGAATGTATGTAAGTATATCTAAAATGAAATTTGTATATTTTAAGATTTCAAAGATTTTTAATATTATTAAAATTAGTATTGGATATGGTATAAATTTAGTTTTTGCAATGATCTATAAACTTTTAATGTTTATATTTATAATCGATAAGGTCTACTAACATAAATAAGCCTTTTTTTTAATTTGCGGCATTTTAACAAACAATTTTCACAAACTCTTTTAAATTTGATCGAGTTTTCCTTTAAATAAATTTCACACACATCTCCTCGTTTTGATATTTCTTGTTCTTGATTTAAATTTAACTAAATTAAATAAATTGAAAAAATAAATAATAAAATCATGCCTAGTGTAGAGTAAAATTTTAAACTCAAAATTAAATCTGTAAGCAAAATTAATTTTACCATTAAAAAAATCTTTTAATTTTACCATTAAAAAGAAAGATTTTCTTTGCAATTGTGTATTTTACATAACTAAGAAGAGTAGTATCGAGAATATTAATAACCATGTTACATAAGTACATATTTGGTTCTTATAGTTTAGTGAAACATTTACAATTTCTCTACCAATAAGAATAAAGTTTGTTATTTAATTTTAATTTATATGGAAATGATTAACAGACTGATCGGAATTTATTACTGATTTATAAATACATATGTTAAGTGTAACTTTATATCATCGTTTACAATCGTTTCCCAGGGGTATTATTAAGAAATATGAACATACTTGCGTATAAATTCTCAATCCGAACTGAGTATCACAACACTTTGCATCCTACTAATATTAAAATAAGACAAAATTGTGATATTTTTCTTTATTTTTTTTTGTTTTTGTAATCATTTCTCGATATTTGGTCTGCACTTCTATACTACAAAATACATATGTATGTACTCATACAAAAATTTTTATTTACTTTGATATTCCAATCGTAATATTTTTCTTATTTTACAACTATGTGAGATTATAAATTATCAGAATTTTGTAAAACAATTGAAAAAAATATGACAATGAAACAGTAAAACTATATAAAAAAGGAATGTTGGACAAACATCGGCTAAAACTGAATAAAATAAAAAAGATATAAAAGGTCACAAAATTACATAAAAATATTAATTCATATTACGCAAAATGATGTTAATATAAATTGTTTTATTATCATATAATATGTATTTATGTACGATTAATCATATTATTTTATTTATTTATTCATTAAATTCCTTATTAGAGTTTTAGCTCGTATAGACTGAAAACATATTTATGTTAGCGATTATTAATCCAAAAGTACATTTTGTAAATTTTATGAAACAACTATTCTCTGAAATACACGTTACATTGTTGACATTTAAATTAGAAAAATAAAATTAAAGCAAGACTAGTTTATTATATGCATTGCATTTCAATGATTTTAACGAAAACATTATGGGAAGTCAAACATTTAGACCATTCATTCTTTATTAATCTAATGCGGAAGATACACATTTGAAAATATATTTCATTTAAAAAAGATTGCCAACTAAAATCATATCAATCAATATTAATTAAAAAATATTAACTTAAAAAAGAAGTTAATGAAAATTTTCCAAAAAAGAAAAAGAACCGATTATTTTCACTAACAATTTAAAAATTATTTTTAAGAATAGTTTAAGCGAACGTAAATATATTACTTTATTATTTAAATTGTTCAATAATATAAAAACATGATTTGAATTGAAATTTAAAATAAATAAAAAACAATATTTAATTAAGGAAACAATATATTTTGGAAAATGTTAGAATTTAATACATGTATTATTATATATTTATATAATTATATAAATACGTACACATATGTACATATATTTTTTATGAAATAATGAAACGTAAAATAATACACAAATTTAACAAAACAGAAAACAAAAAACGAATAATTTAAATAACATAATTTAAAATTAAAATAAATACATAACTACACAACGTTTAACTAGCAGAAAATTTAAAATTTCTTTTTAAATTTTTCAACAGAATTAACTCTTTGGCAAACTTATCTAAAATAAAATTAGAAATACTTAAAGTTTAATAAAAAAAAAAAAATTAAAATAAGTAATTTTTATATTGCGTTACCCTGCAAAAAAAAAAAAAAAACAATTGCTACAAACGTGCTGATAACAAACAATCACGTTGAGATTTTTTCCAAGAGGATTTGTAGATTTGATTTGCAAATTAAAATAAGCCGTTGTCGTTGATTGAATAACATAAAACGTTGGATTCTTAAAAAGATAAGATATAGTATTTCATGATATACTTTAGAAAACTTATATTTAAAACATTGAAACATAAAAGGTTTATAATCAAAACAAAAAAAAATTTTGATATTTTTCATAAATTATCTTATATAATGATTTTTTGAAAATATTTATAGTAGTAACATTCAACCGTTGAAAGCTTTACCACTTTTAAATTACCTTTAATAATCTGAAGACAATATTTAAAAAAAAAAAAAAAACTTTTATTATCTAAAACAACATTTTGTAATATTTGCATACTATGTAATTCCATTCAACTTTTGTATAAATATATATACATATTTTAGAAATGAATTATCACAATAATTAATATTTGTGCTAAAATTTTTTTTTATTGCAATTTGTATACATTTTTTGTTTTTTCAATTGTGTAAAACACATTTTATAATGTAATAATAAAATTATAATAATTTTAAATTAATATTAATTATATTATTATATCATAAAAAATTTGACATTTTTCAAAATTTATATTTCAGGGTACGCCCAAATTTTAATGTTAACTTAATAATAATTCATAAATTTATTGAATAAAATCAAAATATTGGTAGTTATTTTTTTTTTTAAATACATTATCTAAAAATATTTACACAAATTTCATTTATTATTTTTAATTTTTTTTTTGTTTTGTTTTAAATAATTTTTCTTTTTTATATTAAAATATCCTAATATTATTCTAATGCAATAATTTATATCTGAAGTATTTTTGTTTTAATTAAACAAAAAGTTCAATATTTAACTTTTTGTGAGACAGAACAAAAAAAAAAATAAGCAATATAATATGATATAGTACATGTACATATTAATTACATTCACAAAATGCTAGCAAAATTTAATTGCAATTTCCTATTCTAAAATAAACAAAAAGGAAGAATCATATTCTCCATAAATTGATTAAATTTTAAAATCGTTTAATTTTAATATTTTACTGTAAAATATGTGATGATGAGTAAAAGTTTGTTGTAGCAAAATAATAAAACTAAAAAAAATTTTATATACTTGTACATATTTTTCTAAAAATTTTTTTTAAATAATTTAATATGTTACAGTTAAAATTACTAAAATATCATAAACTTTATTAAAAAAAAATTGTAGCTTATCTAGACCCTAATTAAAACAATAAAAGCAAATCTTATTTTTAAATGATTTCAAATAATTTCTATTGTAGCATTTATTTTAACTAAGAGATTCAATTTGTTTTTTTTTTTTTTCAAAACTAAAATTTGTTTTTTATCAATACTGTTTTAGGTTTTTCTTTTTAAATTTCACTTAAAAAAAAAAAATATTTTATTTTAAATTTTAAATTATTTTTTTTTTTTTTAGTTTTTCATCGATTTTTATTTTTATAAAAAAGAGTTTTTCTACATTTTTTGTGCTTTTATTATTTTATTTTTTAATGATTAAGCAAGAAACATTTTTTTTTGTGATAGTATACTTTTTTAAAAATATTTTTTTTAATTAAATATTATTTAATACAGAAATTTATGTAGAATTGAAATTTGTTTAGACGCATGATAGCCAAGCTATCAAAATACAATTGACTAGAATGATATAAATAAAAATTAACTTTAAATTTATATATAACATAAAAATATAAAAAAAAAAAAATTTCAAATAGTTGTTCCAATTTTACAAATATGAACATTTTTATACTTTATTAGAAAAATACTTTAAAAATCTATCTTTAACAAAAATAAATATTAACATTGTAAAATAAAATGGAACATAATAAATAATTTTGGAAAATTATAACTAATATTTTGTGCATAAAATAAACTGCGTATTCAAAGAAATTATATTTTCTTGTCAGCCTTGTTAATTAAATTTTTACATTAAATTGTTTATTTTTTTTATTTTATTTTGCAAATATATTACAATTATATTTTTTATATTTTGCAAAAATAAATAAACAAAAACATGAAACTTAGCAGGAAAATAATTGATAGATACACTTGGATACAGTGTATGCAAATTTGTAAAATATGTTGGTATTATAATGATTTTACTAGCTAAATTCAAATTTTATTAAAATTTTCATGATTTCAAAAAAAAAAACCTACAAACTTCCATGAAAATTGAATTTATTTAAATTAGTTTTTTAATTCATATACAGATTAATAGAAAAAATAATTTATTCAAGTTATACTTCAATTCATAAATTTTTTTTTTCTTGATAATTATTGTATTTTATTCTGATTTACAAATTCAAACAACTAAAGAATTGTTAAAAAAAAAGCTGGTACCTTAAATACAATAAAATAAAAAAAAATCAGCTATATAATTATAATAAAATAATTATAAATAAAAATTTAACAATATAGCATTCTGCACTTTCAAACTTTTTGTCGCGCTTGGGTTTTTTATTTTAAATTTTTTTTTCATTATAAGTCATTGAAATCTTAAAACACTTGGTTTTTGTTTTTTTGTTGGATAATCATATTGTGACGATCATTTACAACATAACCTAATATAATAACATAAAAATTTTCATTTATTTTTTTTTTTCCTTTAACAAAATTTATTTACAAAGAGAAATTATTAAAAATAGTTTAAGTATTATTTGATAAAATAATACCCCGTTGATAAAACATAATACATGTTTCTATTTTTATACATATTTTATGTATTATTCTATTTTTGCTCTTATATATAATGGTAATAATGTTTTGGTTTTGTTTTTCTTTTTTGGTTTTATTGAAAATCAAAGTATATTCTTAATGAACTTTTCGCTCAGGACCAAAATCAACATTTATAAAAGAGAATCCGGCAAATTCTTCTTGATTAATACAACGTATGACATCATTCGGAACAGGGGTTAAAACCGGTTCCTCCTTTGTAAATTCTGTATCAAAATTAGATGCATCCCTCGCATTTTTCTGCAAAAAGATTGTTAAAAGTTTAAAAAATTTAATATACTTAAATTAATTTTGAAATTTCATAACACATTTTCGAAAAAAAAAGAACAAAAATTATATATATTTTACCATTTTAGGCCGAAAAGGAGGCTTCACATTGCGATTTTCAAGTTCTGCCCAATCTAATTTTGCAAAGAACGGATGCTTTCGAATTTCATTCTCATTGCCTGTACAACCTAGTCTTTGGGTAGGATTTTTCGTCAAAAATCCTAAATGAATTCAAAATAAATAAATTTTAAATAATTTATAATTCTCCTTTTCTGTTTAATAATTCCCAATTTTCCTTTATTGAAGAAAAAATCTCTCTTTATTCAATATAAAGCAGTAAATTTTTAATGTTATTTATAATTCGTTTAGTTTAAATAAAAACAATTAATTTTATTCAAAATTTTTCTTCAGCAAATAAAAATCAGGGTTTAATCAACAGACATCTATATATCATTACCCTTCAAAATTGATACAGCTTCTCTAGATAACCACACAGGATACAAAACGTCATCATGCAAAATTGAGTCAAATAACTCCTCTTCATCATTTGCCTCAAATGGAGGTTGGCCAGCCATCATTTCATACATTAATACACCTAAAGCCCACCAATCAACAGAGGCACCATATTCTTGCTCTCTTAAAATTTCTGGAGCAATATAATCGGGAGTGCCACAAAAAGTTGTTGTTAAAACATCTCCAGCAATTCCCTCCTAAAAATATCATATTATTTAGAACAACCGCTTTGTCAATTTCTTTTATCAGATTAAAGTTATTCATACCTTGCACATGCCAAAATCAGCTAACTTGCAATGTCCTTCTTGATCCAATAATATATTATCTAACTTTAAATCTCTGTAAATTACACCATGTGAATGAAGAAATTGTAATGCTAACGTAACTTCTGCAGCATAAAATGCAGCTCTAGCAGCTTCAAAACGCCTTGCCTTTTGAATTTGGAACATTAAATCACCGCCATTTACGTATTCCATTACAAAAAATAAACGATCCTATATAATTTCAAAAAGAAATTAAATATTTATTTTAATTTCTAAATATTTATTTTAATAAAACTGTTTCATACCGGCGTTTGAAAACAGGAATGTAAGGCTGTTAAAAATGGATGTTTTGCTGCTAAAGCAAGTATACGCTTTTCTGTCATAGTACAATCTACATCGTCATCTTGTATAATAGCATCCTTTTTTAAAACTTTTATGGCATAAATTTCATCAGTTCCCTTTTTTTCAGCTAACATTACTTTACCAAATGAACCCTTTCCTAATACCTTAATAAAAGTAAAATCTTGCAAGCCCAATTTTCCAGAACGACTTTCAACAATTTGCTCAAATTGAGACAATTTTGTTTGACCAGTTGACGATGACGGAGGTTCTCTACCACTATCATCTTTTTGTTGATCAGAACCAATTTGTTCTGGTTCTTGATTTAAATATTTAATTGGTGGTCGTCTCGGTGGTGCATTTTTATCCGGCGAAATACCAAGTTGATTCAATATTTCTGCTAAATGTTTTGTATTAATACCACATGTATTTGCTACGTTCTTTTGACATCGTTTATGTACATTCATATTACAAACTTCACATTGTAAACCTTGTTTTACAATTCCATATAATAAGGAACCACAATGATCACAAAATGTAAAACGCCTGTAGTTATGTACCACAAAGCGATGTGGAACATTAATTTGAAATCTTTGACCTACTGGACCGGTATCAGCTCGGGTTTGCTAAAATTATAATAATTATTATTCTATATGTATAATTAATTGAAAAATAAAATAAAATTATGAGAAACCTCTTCCCGCATCCCAGGACATTTGGTAACGACCGATCTATGGCATCTTTTATGAACAACGCAAGTGCATACTAAAAAAAAAGACACTTTGTACTATACGAGTAAATATTATATGTGTATTTGCATTTACATATATCATATTTATTATTTTTGAAAAGATTATTTTATTCATACATGCCAAAAACTAATACAAAATTAAATAAAAGTACCACCAACATAATGTTTAAAACAATATTTATATTAGAGAAAATATTTTGAACTTTTTTTTAAAAGCGAATATGATATTTTGATGTTTTTTTTTAAATTAATGTTTATAAGTTGTGTGTTATATAGTTTTTTTTTAAGTAAAAAAAATATTAAATATTTTTAAATACTTCGTTAACTTATTTTTTAATAATATTTTAAATATTCTTTTAATTTTAAAGAATCTCTCTTAAGTAGTACATGATATATATGTTTAACATTATTCGAAGCGGCGAAACAAATGGAAACATTTCGGTTTTCCTGCAATTTCCACTTTTCTCTCTTTGAGCTTATAGGAAAGCTGTTGTCACTTATAGTCTCTTTGAACTCACATGAATACACATGAAATCATATGTATACGTCGTTGTACTTTGTTTCACCCAGTGAGTAAAAAACCGAAAATTATAATGAGGTGAATAACTTAGATAAATTAAATTTGGTCTGGCATCTACTATATTTGAGAAGGCTCGCAAATTATTTAAATAATATCTAATATAAATATTTTATTAAATCATTAATATATTTGTATCAAATTATGACTGAAAAAACAAACATAATAGAGCAAAATTATCTGTTTGATTAGAGAAAAAACCCTTAAAAAATCAGTATGAACTTCGCTGTCGTACTGTATTGCATTTAAAATTTATAAAATCAATTATCCACAATGGTTTTTCAGAAAATTAACATTGTATCGCGTTAATTAATAAATTTCGTGTACTGATATTGGACTTATACGACACTTATTTACACGACAATTACGACCCCTAATCTATTTATAAAAAAAAAATGACTAACTTTGAAGCTTTAAAGACTACCGTTATAAAAAAAAATAGGTTTAATTTTAGAAAAAAATTTTAAATTTGGAAAAAAAAAAATTTCATCATCAAATTTCCGCATATTTTTTTATAAACACCAAAAAAAATTGTTAAAAAAAAATTAGCAAAACTATCTGAGCAAAATTTTAGGGGAAATTAAATTATTAGCGGATGGTTTATTTTGAAAATTTTAAAGCTTCTTTATTTCGAAAGCAATGTATATTGTCAATTTTAGTATTGTATTTAAATTTTTACAGTTGGATAGGGAAATAAATATACTACAAGTTAACCAAATTTTTGATTACTTTAAACCCAAACGAAGCAATATTTTATTTTTAATAGAAAGGGACTTGTGTAGATCATTTTCAAAATAAACTATCCAAGTAATAGATTTTCAAATAATAAATTGATAGCATTATTATTGTGTTGTACATAAAATTTAATAATTTATTTTCACATTTTGCAATTTGTAAACAATTCAGTTTTGTGTTACACGAGTCTTAAATTTTTAACACGTTAATAAATATTGAAAAATAACATTTAAATGAAAAAATTATTTGAAGGTTGAATTGTTTTTTTTTATCATGTATTGTGTTATTATGACAGAAACAAAAACAAATTCAAATTATTGTTAATATTCTTTTAATTAAAACACACACATATAATATGTACATTAAAATATTAATAATCTAATAAGGAATAAAATATTATTTAACAAATAAAACAACAAAAAAAATAGAAGAAAACTTAAAAACATATACATACATATATAATAAACATTCAATTATATAAAATCAGGATCACACTGTCATAGTGTCATCTCTTTAAAGCAAATCATAACATCAAAATTAAAAAAAAATTTAAATGGTATATTTTGAAAATAATTATTTAAAATTTCGAAATGGATATTTTTTTTTGCAAATTTTTTTTTTCTAATAGAATTAACGATAAATAATTGTCATGCACGTTTCCATATGGTTATAAAACCTTGGAATAGAATAAGGGTATGTATAGTCACATTTTTGAATTTACTAAAATATTTCAAAATTTGAACTACCTTAAAAAATTAAAGCAATAAAAAACTTTTTAAAATAGTGCATTATATTGAGTTTCTCATATACACATACATATGTATGTAATTTAAATAACTCTAGCTCTCAGAATTTTCGGAGGGGGATGTTTTTTTTTCTGAAATCAATGAAACTGAAGTTTTATCTCATTTTCCATCAATAATTTTATGTATTCAGTTGAATGTATATATTAAGTACATACATACATACATGCAATTTATTTTTTTATTATTTTTCACTTAATAATCATTATTTATAATTCATGTCTTGATTATGATTTTAGAAATTTTATTCTGTACATCACGTAGAAAATTTATTCTGTACTTCATCTAAAGATTAAATTAATTACACATATACTTTTACATTGCAATAACTCTGGAGCAATATGAGTACAAAATATAATTTTCGATTTTTGATTTCTTATGTACATTGTGTAATTATTTTACTACAATAAAATTGCAATTGAGAAAATTTAATACAAGCAAGTGATAAATAAAATTTTAATTAATAAATTAAATAATAAATATTTTAAACGGAGATTATTCTTTACTGAAAAAGTCTATTCTTTACTGAAATATTAAATCACAATCAAAGCATGAATAGATGCTGTAATTGTCAGGAAATATTGAAAATATAGAAATTACTTTAAAAGAATATTTGTGTCATAAAGTCAAATGTCGGTCGACAATAATTGCACCTAGCATTTACCAACCGGCAATCAACAATTAATGCTAAATAAAACATTTGCATATCGTATACAACTTTTACATGCAACCGGTTGACAACTGCTTCAAGAAAATTATTTTTGATTTGAGTATTTCTTATCCTTTGCAAAATTTTCCATTTTGCCCAAAAATGCCAAAAAATTTTCAATATGTATACGACAAGCAATTAATATTATTAATTACGTGATATTTGTTTTTTGTATTATCGCTTAAGATACAAATGTTGAAATCTATTGACAGCATTAAAAGTTAAAATGCTCTTGTTAACTGCAATATTGATTAAGATGCAAAAGAATTCAAAGCAGATCTTGCATTATCGATTGCACTTTATTAAATGTCTTACTTCACATAAGAGAAATGAACTGATTCTAGTAAAAATCATTTTCTTTTTTGTGCTTAAATAAAAAAAAATTCTAAGTTGCTCATAAACAAATAAAATTATAAAATTATAAAGAACAACAACAACTATTTTTCCTCATAATTTTAATTATTAAATTTTTTTTTTTTTAACGAATCAAAAATTAAATTTTTATTTTATAATAAAATTAGTTGCAAAAGTAGTCAGAAAATTGGATTAATATAAAAGAAAAAAAAAAATAACAAATAACTTCATAGTTACAACATCAACTTTTTTTTTTAACATGTTGTCTCAACACATACCTTGACACTGATAGCCTTGTTTACCAATTCCCCTGTAAATGCAAAAAATGTGCATTCTATGATTTTTCAAAATTAAGTATTTTTTAATTTTTATAATTGCCCAAAGAAGAAATCAAAAGCAAATCAAAGTTATTATTTAATAAAAAGAAAAAAATTGTTATGTTCCCCCGAAAAAAAAAAATAAAATAATGTATATAAAATATAATAAATATGCATATGCATTTATTTATATATTTATTTATATATAGATTGGCACATATGCACATTTTCCATTATTTATAAATATATATATGTATATATATATATATATGAATATATACATACATTATGATTTAATTTTTATAGTGGAAGATAACAAAGTTATGTTAAAAAAAAGTGAAATTTTAAATAAAATTAGATTAAAAAAAATTAAGATTCCCCATGCATCAAAAAAATAGTGTTTTTCTTTCTTTTCCTTAAATTAACCCATTTATTTTTTAATTCAAAAGAGTGTCAGATGTTAAAATAATAATAATGTAAAAAGAATACAGGTGTACATATATAAAATTATATATTTATATATAAATCTTATCAAATAATGATTTGCTAGTCAAAAATTAAATATACCAATTTGATAGAAATTTAGAAACCATAATTTTATAATTTAAAGTGATCAAATTCTTGAAATTAAATTAAAATCAACATAAATTATTACCATATAAATTCACGACAATGCGAACAAAAAGTGGGTTGACGTAAAAATGTTGCCATGAACTTGTGACCATTAACCTTAAATAAAAAAAGTAAATATATTTATTATTAATATTAAAATAAAAACAATTCAAATTTAATTACTTGATGAACACGTCTTCGCATAGCACCTCGTCTTTTTTCGAAACCAGCTCTTTCTTTAAATTCTTTTTTCTTAGTTCCCACATTTGATGTAGCATCCATAACTGGAGTACTTGGCTCTAAAAATCAAAATACATTTAATTATATTTAAAGTAAAAATTTTATACAAAGCCTATATATTTTATTGATCAATTAAATCTATTTTGTTTTTTTTTTTTCATAAATAATAGATTCATGATGGGATACCCAGTGAATTACAATAAAAATTTAGTGAAAAAAATAGAGTACTGAGCTTAATTATGGAAGTCGAATCAGCGTCAACTTTCTCCGTTAAATTAATTTACGAGTATGTAAGTTAATAATGTTTTTATCACATTAAAATTGTCGTATTCTAAAAAATTCGTAAAAAATCCGTATTATAAGGTTTTAGAATTCAGAAACTCATTTTTTTTAAATAAAATTTATACGTTCCCTTCAATTAAGATTTTTAAATACAAGAAATGCATACACAACTGTGTTTAACAACATCAATAAATAAAATTATCAAATTAATTCAAATGTTACTGCAAATATACATGAACCATGCAAAATGCAGAAGTTAATGAAAAATTAAGAAGCTATTCTTAAAATAAAACCTTTAATTGTCCATCCGTTAGGGAAGATAGACAAATATCAGACACTCGTTTCAAATAACCCTAATTTATTTTAATTATTAAACGATTTAATTGATTGTTTCAAATATTGTACATGTAACAGAAGCATTAACAGATTGAAGATTAAACAATTTTCTTTAAAATTTTACCTTGATATTTGATTTCAATGTTAACATGAATTTTGCCTTGTGGTTCAAGATCAACCTAAAACGGTAAGAAAATCATATTTTTAATTAATAAAAGTAATTTTTTTAACTTTTAGATAGGATAATATTATTGTATGCACGAACTTATATTATAATTTACCCATAAATCTTGTGTTGAACATTCTCTATGTAAAAGATCTTCAAATGGAATAGTACAATTGGCAACAAATTCATCTGGTGGCAACGCGGCATCATGAAAAACCGTCAAATTAATATTTTTAGCATTGATAACATCATGAACAAATTGTTCATTCCATACGGGATCAAAAGTTTTCGCTTTTGTTGTTGTTTGATCTAAAAGTGAAATAAATATTTTATTTGTTATTATTTTTTTATATTCAAATTTTTAAAAAATGTTATGTAAATGTTTATTTCCGGCTTAAACTACCGTGACAATTTGCTACTAATTTCTGCAACAAACTGAACTATTTCGATTGACCCGATCAAACTTTTTTTAAATGAAATAATATCTGTTCCTTAATAGATTCAATTGAAATTGCAAAAATTATAACAACGTTTTAATGTTAAGCTTCAAACCAGGCTCCAACCAACGAGAATCTCTGACAATATTTTGGTAAACCATCATTGGTTTTTTAAAGCATCGGTGTGTATTTATTGTAATCAAAATTAAATTGTTATATTATGAACCTTATTCATAAAAATTGTCATATGTACGAGTAAATCAGTTTATTACGCTTAGAGAATTTTTATTTAACCAATTTTAACTTTAAGGTACTCTAGATTGATTACTTTGCCTAACCTTTAAAAAAAATTCTTCAAAATTATTGTATATGGTTGGTTCGAAATAAGTTTCAAAGGAGTAGCGACAAGTCAACTTTAATTACAAATGAATTAATTCAAACAATTTCCGTAGTACTAGTGTCTATAGGAATATTATTTTTATTATTTAATTTTTCTTGTTTTATTTTCGATAACAAACATTTTTTAACATGAATTCATTCAATGACAAATTCCAGACAAAATCTGCGAAAAAATAACTTAAAATCAGACCACATAAAATCGAAACGCCTTCAACATTTACATGACCTTATATATTTAAAAATGCAGACATTAAATTCATGGTTTGTAGAGCGCCCTTTAACAATTTAAATCTAAAACACCAATTATACTAATTTAATTAAGGCATAAAGCAATACTTTACGGTAAGAGAACGATCTCTGTTACATTTTTGATTTCATAGATAATCGATAGACCTAACATCGTCAAAGAAATAGGAAGGCAAAGTTTGGAAATTAATTCGTTTTAGCAGAATAAGTTATCGATATCTTAAAATAAACTGTCAAAATTCGACATTAATCCGAATTGCCCTGCAGTAATTCCTTGAAGCTATAAAAATACAAACTTTAAACTTCAACTATGAAAACGAATTCAAAATAATCCAAAATACTTAAAGAACGTTATAATAAGATGAATGTAAAAATTTAACCCCCTTTAGAAAATTAAAAATAAAAATCATCACTGATTCATCGTAGGTAAATACTTGAAATTGTACATTTGAAAATTAAATGTAAGTATTCAATTTGAGTTAACTAAAACAGTTTTTATTTTTGTATAAACAAAAACTTACTTAATTTTGCTGCATTGAATGTGAATTAATGTTAGCAAAACGACAATAAAAAAAAAATTTACATTAAAAAAATTGCTTTATTAGCTCATGATTTACATATGTATATTGTCTTTATTAGAAAATAACAGTCTCGCGTACATTTAAGCTTGAATATAAATTTATTAATTCAAAATTATGGTGACCATAACTCAGTTATCCATTAATGAGCATTGAGATTAAATTTATAATAAAGATAAACCTATTCGGCATTATGCGGATTTTAAAATAAATTAAATACAGTTAGGTGTTTTGGGTCGATTTCAATAATAAACTAAATTCTCCATTGTAAGACATATTTTCAAGGTCAGAAATTTTAAGGCGTGAGAGATGGAAAATAGTGTTAAAATTCTCTTACTCAGATATAATCAAAATCTATTACTTATTATTATTAAAAATTTTCATGTGAGAATCGTACAATTAAGACCCATTAATTAGTTTTGAGTAAAATACAAGAAATTTTTATATGTATGTAATTCAGCATTCATATTTCAAATTATATTATTTATTCTCGTTAAAAAGAATGAGATTAAGCCTTTTTGTAAACAAGTACTAAAGATAAACAAGACAGGAACAAAAACCGTAATTCAAAAATGGAAATGGGTTTTAATTTTACGATCATCGTATTATGTATATATACAAATGTATAATACAATACTGAAACGAATATAAGACATATTTACATATACATGTTTTTAGTAGGAAGTGATCTTAGTATTAATACAGGAAATACTTCAAATTTTCCAATACTAGATTTAAATATCTAAAAACGTGGTGTATAACATTTTCAAATCTACCAAATCATTGGTTCGAATCTAAGAAATCGCATTCTTAAGATCGTTCGATGTTATTTCTCTGAATATGAATTTTTTTTTTTATTAATTTATTCATATGCAGTAAATTTTATATGAATTTTAATAGGAAAATATTTATTTTATTAAATATTTACATATACATATAACATAAATATGTGATGAATAAAGATTGTATACATCTTTATACAGGCGGCTACCCTATCTATCACCTCATATACATATGTATACTGCATTTCCCGACTTCAACTTTTTTTTCGATTAAAGTTTAGTTTTATGAGACGTCTGTATGATGGGACTTTTGTTTTTTATGAGACGTCTTTTAAACACCTCGGTTACAACCGTGTGTTTCGTGTATCTCGCTTTTTCACGTTTTTTTATTCACTTTCAATCAGAATTCTCCATTTTTTCAATACATATTTTATTTTTAATATTATTCATTTATTCAATAAATGCATTATTAGTGTAATGTTATTAACACATTTTTTCAATTGGATTTTTGCATTTTTTTTTTCAAATTTTCGACTGAATGTCTCATCTTCAAAAACGAAGTGAATAAATTTGGTATAAATTTTAGAGAAAAAACGAGATATACGTAGCACGAAATAATTCTTCTCACTCAAAAATTACTTTATACATATACATATACATATGTTTATGAAAGTTACTCACTTTCTTCTCATTTGGCGAGTTAAATACCGAGATACACGATCAGACTGTTAAAGTAGAAAATTTTCGTTCTCCAAATATAATGTTATGTGAAGGGATTGCTGCCTACATTTTTATAAATTTTTTTCACATAACTCGGAACTTTAATATCTATGTATATAAAATCTTACATTAAAACCGGTCTATTTATAACAGTGACCCCATCTATAAATTATATATTATCATATATATGTGCATATGTATATATTTTATTCAAAATATTATAAAAATTAACCATTATAACTTTGAATAACTATATTTTAATCATCTTTTGTTAAAATAAAAAATATATGATCACATACTTACGTACATACATGTACAATATATTATTGTTTAATTTTTTATTTGATTTTTTCTTTAAATATAGAAAGTTACGAAATAAAATATATAAAATATTTTTGCGGTAGTAATTATAATTTCAATAAAAAAAAAAACCGAAAAACCTGTTTGAATCACGAGATATCAAACACGTGAAAAAAATATACAGGAACAAGTTAAATTAATGGTATTTTGTCCTCTCTGTTTATAGTTTCTTCAACATTTACTTTAACAAAACAAGTTGTCAAAAATAAAAACAAGATAATAAAGTATGACAAATGATTCACTTTGTTGTTTTTTGCTTTAACAAAAATAAGTACGAACGTGAAATAAAGAACGGATGATTTTTTTAATAAAGCGTAAGATAAGTACGAAATTTTTTGAAAATTGTAATTTTTTTTCCATTATTTTTTTCAATCCAAAGAAGCAATATTCAATTCTTAAGAGTAAGTCATTCCATTTTGTATACTTATAATATTGGGTTGAAATTTTACTTGCAGTCAGCCCAAACAAGTTTTGAAATCTGGTGTATGTGAATATTTTAAAGTTTCGTCACTAGTATTAGTAATGCAGTAATTAATTTTTCTTCCATATTTTATAAAATTAAATATAATGATCTTATCAAATGAAAAACTCTTCACCGGTAAAGATTTGAAATGCGCATTTGATATCATGTTTTAACAGCTTTAACGGATGATTACCATTTCAATTCCAAAAAAATGTAATCTTTACTTGAATTTATATAAAATGTTAAAATTTGAAAATGTCCAGGAAATCTTATAATTGAATAAATCCAAATCAAGATGTTTGCTCCAAAGATAAAATGAATAATATGAAAAAATGAAAATATACAAAGCAAAAAGTAAGTATTTTATCTCATGGTTTTTTAGAAATCAAATTTATTTAAGTATGTGTTGCATGCCGCAATAAGCAAACTTCATATTATAATAAGAACATAATACTGTTGATGCTAAAATAATTGTAATTATAATAATTTTTAGAAGGACCTTTTCAATAAATCATATTAAAGCGGGACAATGATTTTAGTTTAGTTAAAACATATTTGGAATACTTAACATAACTAAAATTAAACAAAATGAATTAATGATCCAAGTCCAAAGACATTAGAGGTATGTACCGATCTCAAAAAATAAACTGAAGTTTTGTATTCAGATAAAGATATACAACTTATTTACTTATTACCACAAGTTATGTATATAAAAATATTATGTGAACTAACATTGATGTTACTAATTCAAATGTCCAAGTTTTGTATAAATTAAAAGATTTTTTTTTAAAATTCGAATTGATATTTGATTTGTATTATTATAACTCTGGATCATATAACTTTAATATAAAAATGTATAGCAGATATGCAGGTACATGACGTAGTTATGGTTAATTATATAAATGAAGTTATTATAAAATTGACATACGATTACTGACAAGTAAGTTTGTAGTGCATACCTACTTACTAGACACTAGTTTCAAAAATACATAAAAAATTTTTATTTGAAAATCATTGTTAACAAATACTTTTTCATGCAAATATTACAAAATCTAATATGAAAACGGATATATTTCAATTTTATGCACATAAGTACTTAGATTGGTACCTATCATAAAAACCGGCAGATAAATATACTAAAATAGTAACTATATACATAAGCAAATGCACGCAAGTGTTTACCATACTGAAATTAGTAGGTAATTAATTACTTACTCAATTCTGATTTTTTTGGGAAGAACAATTAATCAGGAAATAATAAATAATATTAGACTAAGTACTAATAATTAATATTTTATGTAAATACTTTTAAAGACTTATTAACTTTTTAAACTTTTCAACATTGTGACATGTTAAAATAAAAGAGTAGGTGGGTGGGTAGCTTACCCATTTATATACATACATATGCGTAATAAGGGTTAGTAAATAAGTACCTAACCTACTTATATTTATATATATGAGCCACAATTCACAAAAAAAAAACTTGGAAATTATTATAAAAAAAAAACAAAAGTTTACCTAAATGTACTTCATCCACATCAATTGAAACATACGGATCCATTGGTTGATCATCAGGTTTTCCAAAAGCCATATTATGCCTCTTTTGAAAATCAGTGGGACGTAGCCCGCATGCTTCACAAATTTTTAATTGCAATTTGCCCGTGAACATTTTATTTATATATATATATATATTATTATTATTATTATTTAATGTATTATGTGTATGTTTAATTTTAAATTGCTCCTATTTCAAATATATATTATGTTGGTAAAATATGTATGTACTATATTCTAATAATTTTATTTGTAGATACATATATATATATACATATAAATATATTATATGTATCTATATATGTATATATATATATATATTTTAAGTATATACCTAAGGATGTTAATTTGTAAGTTATCAAATAAAATACTTTATTATGAATTTTACTAAATTCTAATTTTATGCTTAAAAATTTAAATTGTTATTATATATATATATATATTATTTGCAAGTATAATATTTTAGTAATTATTTTCATTTGAAATTTTATAAAAAAACACCTAATTTTTTGTCGACTTTTTCAACAAAAAAATTTTTTTTTAACTAAAATTTTTTTCCAAAAAAAAAACAGCACTTCTTTTTTACACTTATTTTTCCTTAACAATCTTAAGTTAAATAAATTGTTTCAGTAAAAACAAATTTTAAATAATATCTACATATATATTATAAAATATAAATTTTATCCAGGATTATATTTTCACGGTAAGTTACAGAAAAGAACCTAAAAACAACTTATATCATAAAGTAGACACCTATCAATATATACTTTATGAAGTAGTATATACATTTGCTTCTCATATACAATTGAAAATTTTTTTCTTCATAATACATAACACATTAAAATTCTATTTTTTCTACTTTTTCTTTTCCAATTTGCAAATTTTTTTAAATAAGCAAATTTTAGTTTCAAAATAATAACTTAAATTATAAAACTTTTTTATTAAAATTGTTTTTCTATTCTATTTTAAACACTAATTTTTTTAAAAATAAATTGCATATTATTTATATACTTTTTTTTTCTAAATTTTCTAATATTTTCAACAATTGCCTTCTTTTCTTGATTTTTCAGCTCTTACTTAATTTTCTCCTATTTGTTTCCTCTACTGGATTGCTTTTTAATGGAATCTACAAATTTAGTATTACCATAGTAATTTTTTTTTTACTAAAAATTTCTTTGGCCTTCAAAATTTCATTTATATTTTTAGGCACATATTTCTATTACATATATACATATATATATATATATATATATATATATATATTATTATATTAAAATGTATAACATAGTAAAGGAATAATATGTATTTCACTCATTTCAAATTATGTATATATTACTTTTTATTCCTAAAATTAATTTAGTTTCATACAATTTAACTTATAAAAGAAATTTAACCTGACAACACTTAAATATATAATATGATCCACTAGTCACTACACTACACTACTCAGATTTTGATTTTCTTTTAGTTTTTATTTAATGTATATTTCTTATACTCATATTAAACACATTTTTATTTATGTACATATGTGCAAATTTATATTGAAGATACCCAAGAAAATTCGCGCATGCTTATTTAGAATAAGTAGAATTTTAATTTTTTAACTGAATTTGTGCTGAATACCACTTTTACCGAGAAATATTATTGAATTTAAATAATATTGGAAGGCTTACACTTTTAAGTAAATGCCACATGGAATATCATAGCTATAAGCTGAATATTGAAATTGAAATAAAATAAAATAATTGCTTTGTACATACAAAAATTATTAAGTTTATTTTGACAGCTTTTTGTCAAAAAATTACGCGATTTCTTAAGGTTCATCAATATTTTTATTTAAAAAAATGTTTGGTTTACAATTTCTAAAAAAATTAATATTAAAGATTGTGGGTGAGTATGGAAAATTTGTGTGACATTATCTTACGATGGAAATAAAGAATCCATTATTTATGCACTAACTAAAAATCCTAACTGAAGCATGACAATCGACCACTTTTTACAGTTATTGTATGCAAAAGATCATGGGCATTCTTGTGGTTTTCTGTGTAACTACCTTCATTGCACTGTACTAAACGTATTTTACAAAATCAAAGTCATACCACTGTTTATATTTTAGACTTCTAAACTTTCACAAAAATTGATTTTTGAGCAGTTATCGGATGATTTTTTTTCGATTTTAATGATAATGAAAAAAAGTCGTTAAATTTCGACATCAATCAGCTTTATCAGATACCACTTTATGTCTAGAGCAAGTGCAACAAGTTATTTTGGAAAACATAATGTACTTAGACAGAATTTACTAATACGGCGCGGCGCCTGCATAAAACAAAAATTGAAAAATTACTCATTTAAATTTTAATAAGTGATAATTTATTAATCGAGGCTAGTTTTAAAAAATGTGGTTAAAAAATGGACATTTTTTGACAACGTCAAGATATATGTTAAAAATAACACAGTTTGTCAAAAAATTTAATAATTTTTGGAGAAAAAAACACATCAAATAAAACTAAAATAACTGAGTTAAAATTTAATACGGTCTCGTGAAAGTACTACACCTACATATTTATATAAAATTTGTAGTTAACTACTTTTCGTAGCATTTTATTCATTTATATGTAGTCTGAATAGGGTACAATAAATAATAATGTAGCTTGGTATGGTAGCATGTGCACATTTGGTTATGTCAAGATTTGAGTAAACTAAAACAAAATTCTATTTACATTTTTACAAATATTTTAAAATTTATAAAGAGAGATACGTCAAGAATTTAACGAACTTCCATAAAAACTTATTTTAATTCAATTTTTAGAATGCACTCTAACAAAACAGCTGTTTTTAAACCAGAATCTTCAGAACCGTATATAAATTATGTACGCGATAATAAAGTAAAAAGAGAAAATGGCAAAAAAAAAGATAAAGAAAATGTATATCTTAATGTTGGAATACTTTCCGAAGTAAAAGGATCTGCATATATGGAGTATGAGCAAACAAAAGTTTTGGCTGTAATATTTCCACCACAGGAGCCTACAAAATCTAAAAACCCAGTTAACTCGAACAATTCTGTGGTACATGTCGATGTTTCTATACCAATGTTCGCTACAAAAGATTATAAATTTAGAAATCAAAATCAAAGATCGCTTGCAATAATTTTAAAGAAGGCTATTGAGCCAATAATATGTAGACAAGAATTTTCAACTTTTAAAGTGTGTATTCATGTTTTTGTCTTAGAGCATACAGAACATATAGAAAGTACAGCGTTCAATTGCTGTGTGGCTGCTTTAGCTGAAGGCGGTATTCCAATTTATGATTTATATGCATCATCCCCTTCTAATGTGGAAAACTTATTAAGGCAGAATAACAAGTTAAGTGTTTATTCCAAGGATTTAGCCGTAAATCAAGTAACAAATTGTTTTCAGAAGGGTTATATGACATTAGAAGAATTTAAGAGAGCACTGAATGAGAACTTAGAACAAAATGAAAAAATGTTAAATTTGATAAGATCTGTTTTAATTAACAAAATAAAAAATAAAAATACAGTATAATATTTTAATACATGTGGTTTACTTAACATTAAACAGTTGACACAATTTAATATCCAGTTGAATAGTTTAAAAAAATTTACATTAAGGTACAAAGAGAAAAATTTAGCACGTTAGATGATTTGAGAATACATTATTTCATATTTACATTAAAAGTTAGACTTTCAAAGCAAAGACCATACTGAGGAACTGCTCATAATGAATAGTGATTACTCCGTCCATATCTGTATCATATTGTCTAAATGCTGAGGTAAGAGTCTAAAAAGTCCAATTGTTTTAAAGAAGCGTCATTTAATTATAATGTATGATTAAAAAATACATATGTAGGTACTTACATATAAAATAACACAACATTGGATAAAATCATCAAAAAGTATTGTTCCTCTTCCAAATCTATCAAACTTTCTAATTAATATGTCAACAATATTGTCTGAAAGTCTATATCCAAACGCAGTTAAGGCATTCTTTAATTCATTTCTATCAATATTTCCTGAGTTATCTGTATCAAATGATCGAAAGCAATTTTGCCAATCCGTAACTATAATTAAAAAATTGATAGATAATTTAATTTTTAATGTTAATATTATATTGGTACCATATTTCCAAAGAGCACCAAAATCTTGAAAGCTAACTGTTCCTCTATTTTGTTTGTCAAACATTCCAATCATAAGTCGAACCTAAAAAACATGAAATGGTGAATTTAGATGATTTTTCCTAAACTATGTACATAATACATGTTATATAATTAAGGATAAAATGACTGCCATTAATAATTCTTACTGTTTCTGGATTAAAAGGAGACCATGTTCCATTAGATAATGCCATTTGTAGTTCATCTGCTGAAATAAATCCGCTTCCATCTTTATCAACACTGAAAATAATTGTATATGTGACTTTACGGTACTATATGGATATTAAAAATAATTTGCACAATTTATTAAAATATTGCAATATTTAAAAGGTAAATGTGAAATTCAATTCCAAAACCGATCCAAATAGATTTCATTAGAGCTCTGACTCATTCTTTTTTTTTTAAGAAAACCATAGATACTAATTCCTTCGTATGTAACTTTTTTCTTTTATCATATTCTTGGTACCTACGTAATTATGCTTTGACTCATCCTAATGTAATTTAATAAAACCCTTATTGATTTTTTAAAAACATAAAATTCCTATACAAATTAAATAGTTTTCTTACGATTTTAGGTTAAATATAAAAAAAAATTAATGCCCACCAATTTGAAAGGATTCTTGCTTTGGATAAAAATTAAAAATGTCGAAAAATTTGTTGATTTACTATACATATTGCAAATTTTGTAATGTTTACTGATAAACTTACCGTCTAAATATGTCCCACAAAAACCTTTGATCAGGCATACCAGCCATGATTAAATTTTTTACTATAGTTATTTATGATATTCTAATATTTATTAAATTTGTTGAAAAAAATTATATGTTTATTAATAAAATATTTACTAGAAAAATAAATTCCTGCAACTTTAATTTCCTCACTGTCTTATGTATGTATGTATCAATGATGTGGTTTTCGTTTCGTCTGTATTATTTGTAGGGCAGTGCGCTACACTGCTACAATACAAGACATGTTGTATTGTAGTGCTTCATTATCAATATAGTGTCGGAGTCAAAATCGCATAAGTAGCACATAAAACATAAAGGAAGAGGAGATAAAAGAGCTTTTTTTTTTCCTATCTGGCAATATAAAGTGATGTTTTCTCAAAAATTCAACTCATTTATATAAAATATATAAAATAATAGCCTCGAGATTCAAATCTAGTTTTATAATAGCTTCATTAAAAAATGACAGAATTATTTTTTGACAACGTCAAAATACATATATTGTAAAATTAATATAACTTGCCAAACAATTTTTGAACAAAAAATGTTTTGTGAAAAAAACACGTCAGACTTGTTAATGCAGTTATAAAAATCATTTGGCACACAACTTTCGCATAAAACGATTGTTGTTCAAAACTTTCGCATAAAATTAATTATCGCATTTTATTTTTGAAAAATCTTACATAAAATCTAAAGAGAACAGAGTAATTTCTATTATGTATTTGAAATCAGACAAAGTCTTAAAACCAGGTTCACACATACGACTTTCATCAGACTCATATTAGATCGCAAATTTAGTCGTATATATAAACAGTAATTTAGATCAAATCTTAAATGTTTTCGTATATATATTATATTAACAGTACCTAGAACGTTAAAAAGAATAAAAATTACTTATTAGTTTAAAGACCGCACGTTTCAAATTTAATATTTAAAACTTTTGATTTGATCAATATATTTAAATCACAACTAAATTTTCAGATTACGCATTACAATACACAATTTTGACACTTCGAATTTTTAAAATTATAAGAGTCCATTGCGTTCCTTTTAAAAATGGTGATATCAGAGTACAAAATTTTTTTATTTTACGAGAGCGTGCTCTGACAACCTTTAAGCTATAAAATAAAAAGATATACAGTGTGCAAATATTCTGAACAATACTTTTAAATAGATTCTGCTATTGCGTTACAAAAAAGATTGCGTTGAATTGCGTAAGTCGTTGAATCTGGCACGTATTATTTGCTATTGCGTAGGGTATAACTGAGTTGAAAAGGAATGCCATTTTATGCATGCATATGGCATTTCATTTGTGAAAACATTTCGTTTATTGTTCTTTCTTTTAAAAAAAAAATTAAAAAAGAAGTAATATATTAAATTGTGAGAATTCGTGTTTTAGAAATTCAAGCAATAATTTAAAATTAAGAGGTCAATTTTGGACAATTTATAAATTGCAAGAAATAAAAAATTTTAAATTTACGTCTACGTATCAAATTTTGACAAATATTGCTTGTTTCTTATCAATCTGCTTTGTCGTAATTTGAAAAGAAATTTTTAGTTTTTTTTATAAAAAAAAATTGGTTTAAAAGTGTATAAGCAAAAGTAAGGAATTCACAATTATAACTAAAATCGTATTGGTAAATATAGAAATCATATCAAAGACGATTTTTAAATTTTTGTAAATTGTCAAAATTTGATGAAGTATATATATATAGTTCTATGATATTACTATTGTATATTTTATTTTCAAAATGGACAATTATTGATAGAGTTTAATTGTTTTGTAGAAAACAACTAGTTAATTTATCTTAAAGCGGTATAAATATACAAAATTGTTTACTAGATAAACTAAGAAATAAATTGTATTGAAAATAAAATAAAAATTTTGTTAGCTGTTAATTAAAGCTCTTTAGGTTGAACTTTAATTTAAAACAAAGTAATTGCACATTTAGAAAAAAAATGAATAATAAAAAGAAGAGCCGTCCAACAGCAACTAGGTAAGTAGATTTTTAAGAAAAATTTTAATGTTGATGTTTTTACATAACTATATCTTATTTTTAAGGTAACTTTGAGGAACTTCTAGTTCTATTAAGGAATTATTGAGCTAAATATATAATTAAATTAAAATATTAAAATAATATAAATTTTATACATATAAAACGACTAACTCGGAATCTGTTATTTTGCACCGCTATATAATTTAAGAATGATAACACTTGTATTTAATTGAAAGTCATGAAGGTAATACTTATGTATCTTATATTAAATAAAAACTTCATGGCTTTTTTAGAATGATAATATTTAGCTAATAAGTAGGTAATTGGGTATTCGATTTTCTTTAAGAAAGTTTTTCTTCAGATTGGTAAAAATTGCACAACGATTGTTGATTGCAAGTTCGCCTTAAATCCTTTGATACATATGTTGTTTTTTCTCAAAAGATTCAATTTGAGATTCGAAATTAGAAAATAAAAAAATTAACTCACGTTAATATTAGATAACAATTTTAAATTAAGTTTATTGATTTTTTAGATATGCTAACAGAAATTTTAAACTTATTTTTGTAAAAATATTTATTTGTATTTTAAAAAATAATGAAATTTACTTATTAGCAATTGCTAAACGGTATGTGACAACAATTTGTTTACTATTAGTAATCAAAATTAAGTTCATTTCATTTACACTTTTATACGATAGAACTGATTGTATACAAAATATAACATTCCTAGCCAGGTATAGATATATATCTATGGTACATTGAATTATCTTACAATGATAAGGAATACAAAGAAAAACGTAGAACTAATTTAACAACTAAATAGAACAATTATAACGAAAACATATAAACGTAGAAATAATTAGTTATTCATTTAAAGACTTTATTTAGGAAACAATTGTTTAAATCTACAGTACTTGTGCCTCAATTAAAGATAAATTTTTATTCGTAGGAGCAAAATTAGTAGAAATAAAATTAGTTAAATATAAAATGATTTAATAAAATTTAACGACAAATTCTTTTATAAAACATTATTAACAATTTTAGAATATTTCTTAACATTTTCAAATAAATTTTGTAAAAAATTTTGGAAGTATAAAAAAATCTATGTAGATATTTGAATGAATTCTGGAATTTAACAATACCAATTTTAATTATATATGTATGTTTAAATTTTTTATTGAAAGAATTGATGCCTTTGTCCTTTCATAAATGCATCGTTAATTTATCCTATTTATGCGTCAGTAATATTCACTTATATATTCAGTTACCTGGGTATCTAATAAGTTATTGAAGTAATTAATTTTTAATAATGTCTAAAGTTCTTTTATACTATTCAGATTTTTTTTTCTCAATGTTCATATGAATCTCGTTTAAAAGCAAAAGCATTGCAACAAGTAAAAACTTGTTGGCCAAACAAAAAATATAAAAATAAGTTCCTTCAATGTTTAAAATGATTCACTGGAACTGTCGTTTTAAGAATTAAAATCATGATCCATATTACAAGTGATAATTTTAAATTTTGTTTTTGTGTTAAAAAAAAATATGTTTTAAAAAAAGATTTGGAAAAAAGATTTATTTTTGAAATTGATATCAAAAACGAAGGTTTTAAGAAATTTTGATTTTGAAATTGTTTAGTGATAAAATTATTAAAAGATTTACATAAAATAACAGCACGATAAACAAGAATACATAGTGTCCTTAACCAGTTTTTCGTTCGAACTTAGTTTAGTCATTTTCGGTATGTTATTTAATTATACAATTCAATGTTAACAAACTAAAGTGCGTATATGGCATACAAAACATACAAAAACACTATTAAAATTTCTTTTTCCAATGGTAGAAAGTTTTCTTTATCAATAATCCTTTATTATTAGAAGTTAATATTAACCATTTCATAAATATAAATATGAATAACGAATAGAAATTTCCAAAAATTTTTGCAATAAGAGCATTTTGTTAGCACATATTAAATATAGTTATTAAATTTCAAATGTTATTGTTGTTAAATTTCAAATGTACGAACCTTATACTTACATTGACCCATACAATCTTCTTATTAAAATGATAAAAAAATGTGACAATTATGGTTAAATGTTTTTGATTAAAAGCCGAATTAGTCAGATGTTTTTATTTTCAATTAAAAATTTTTTTTTGTACATTATAATAAATGATGTAGGCACATAATAGTTTGTTATAAATGTACAATATACATAATTATATGCATGTATTACAATTTACAAATTAGAAAATTATAATGAAAAAGATAAAAGAAAGATAGTAGACAATAAAAAACCTAAAATTCAATGCATCTTCTTCTTCTATCTCTTGGTATTTTTAATAAAAAAGTAATAAAATGTACTCAAGAATGAATATAACTACAAAATATAATGAAAGAAATACAATGTAAAGTATTGTATGTACAATATAAAAACAACAAAAAAAAAAAAGATTTTGTTCTCAAAAACTTTTACATTTAAATTAAACGAGACTACGGAAAACCGATAGATGGTACAAAAACATAAATATTTTATGATATACATATGTATTCATATTTATATGTGTAATGTACGTAATATATACATATATATATGTATGTACATATATAATTTTGGGAACTATATATTAATAAAGTAAACGAATGAGAATTTTATATTAATTCAAGTACAAGCCGATTCTCGTTCTTTTGACTTCTATTAAAACTACACGTAAAATATTTCATTGTTCATTTTTTTTTTAAATAACATATTTAGGTATTTGTAATTGTATATATGTAGTTGTATAAATTGTAATTCATACTTACATATGTACATAATAAATGTAGAAGAAAGTAAGATATAAATTATTAAATTTTCTTCAGCATCGGCGCATTAAAACATAAAAATTTATAAAAGTTAGTAAAGTTATTTTCTATATGACATTTTAATGTTTGGTTAGTAAAACTTATTGCCAGCTGATATTGTTCTTTCTCTTCTTACTTACCAGTTGTGTTATGATTTAAATTGTCTGATATTTGGAGCATTTTAAATTTTTTTGTGAATTTTTTTATAATTATGTACCTAGTTCATTTTTGTATATCTTAAATGTATTCTAATAGATTAAAATTATTTTACTGTTTAATTCTTACTAAATATTTTTCTAGTTTAATTTTCTATTTGAAAAGTGTTGAT